CTTTTTATAAGTAACGCTTAAGGTTTTACGTTTACACTTATTAGAGATATATTATTTCCTTTATTTAAGATTCTTATTACGTTTTAATCGTTTTTAATATAATTCTTTATAATTCTTTAATATCTTAAAAACTTTTACTCTCGCTCTCGCATTCACTTTAAAACTAAACTATTAAAGATATAATAAAGGCTATAAATTAAGCTCTAAAAAGTAATATAATAATAGCTACGTGTAGGTTACCTAATAGAGATATAATTATTATATTTTAAGATAATATCTTCTCCTTTAAGGAAAATATAAACTAAACCTAAGTTACCTTTAAGTTAAAAGCGATAATTTATATAAGAATTCTTAGTATTATAATAAAAGCCTTTTTATTTAATATACTAGAAAAGAAGACCTTATAGTTAACCTTAATAGGAAAAATAACGTAAAGATTATACGCGCTATAACGCGTTACTCTTAAAGTAATATTATAATATAAATAATTTTAATTCTAAGAGTTAAAGGAATAAAGTAAGCGTAAGGAATTTAAATCTTAGGTTATTTTCCGTTTTAAAGGCGATTTTAAGCTAGTATTATAGTATAAGAGCGAGAGTAAAAGTTTTCGAATTATATTTAACGTAATATATTAATAAATTAAAGTTTATATATTTTAAAGGTAAATGTAAATTCTTGTTTTCTTATATATATATATACCTCTATACTAATACGAAATAAACGTAAAGAACGTATATTACGTTATTATTAAATGCTTACTATATAATAATAGTAAATTATAAAACTAGCCTAAAATTATAAGAAATTTTATTAAGCCTTAAAAAACGCTAGCTTAATATAAACCTTAACTTAATAGCTATTAAATATAAGTAAACTTCTTTATTATTATCTTATTATATTACTTATAAAAAGATAAGTTAGTTATAAATATATTCTTTATAAGTATATATATCTTTAAACTTACTTAAAAAGTAAACTTTAAATCTTAAAAAGTAAACTTTATATTAATAATATTTTCTTATAAGCTATTATTTATTAAGATACGTATAAGAGATACTCTCTTATAATTAAGTTATACTTATAAATATAATAACTTTTACGTATACTTAAGAATCTCTTTAAGTTATAGAATGTTATAGGCTCGAGCTAGTAGCTCGGGCCTAGGCCGAACCCGTTGCGGAGGCAGCTCGAACCTAACCCAAATAATCTACGGGCTAGGTAGGGATATTTACCTCTTTATATATATATATAGTTTTATTAAAGAATAAGGTTATAAATATATTCTTTATAAGCGTATATATCTTTAAACCTACTTAAAGAGCGAACTTTATACTAATAATATTTCTCTATAAGCTGCTATTTATTAAGGCACGTATAAGAGATACTCTCTTATAATAAAGTTACACTTATAGGTATAGTAGTAGTATAGTATTAAGTACGCTAGAGCTCTTTTAAAGCTATTCTAGTATATTAACCCGTATTTCAAGTAAAAAAACCCTTAAGGGAAGAAAAACCTACTTGTATTTATAAAGCCTTCCCTACCTTATACCCGATATAATATAAGGCGTATTTCTTCTCGTATAGGTTACAAGTACTAATTATTCGCTTTCGCCTATTCTCAACCTATTATCCTAGTTTTTCTACGGTATATTATATTATAGTTATAATACGTACTAGCTTAATTTTTCCCCTACCCTAAAGCTCTAGGCTTACTAGCTAATTTTTTAGGTAAGCTTAGCTTAATTTTACCCCTAAAATCACGTGCTTAAAATCACGGGTTAATTAAATTTCCGGGTAATTAAGCCGAAAATTTAAGTGCCTTTAACCGGGTTTAAACCAGCTCCCTACTACACTAAGGCAAGGTGTTACGAACGACACTACACAAGACACGAGACGGGACCGTACTGGCTAGGATAGACACGACCCGTAGGTATAAGAAGAAGGTATTAAATTTATACTAAATAAGTAACTCTTTACTCTCTTTACTATAATTAAATAATATTTAAGTAAGTCTTATAAATAATATACCTAAAATTAATAGAATATAAATAGTATTTAACGTGATATATAAATAAATTAAAGTTAATATATTTTTAAGGTAAAGGTAAATTCTTACCTTCTTATATATATATATAATCTTACTAGAAAATAAGGTTATAAATGTATTTTTATAAGCGTATATATTTTTAAACTTACTTAAAGAGCGAACTTTATACTAATAATATTTCCCTATAAGCTACTATTTATTAAGGCACGTATAAGAGAAGCTCTCTTATAACTTATACGTGTATCTATTCTCTTATATTAATAACGTAGCTACAATTAAATACACTATTTAACTTCCTTTAACTTGTAAGTATAAATACCGCTACATAATATTAATAAAGATTTAATACGTGTATATAATAAGTGAAACCTTAGTTTTTACCTATTATCTCTTACATTATAAAGTTATAAAGCTCTTCTTAAATAGGTTAATTATTAGCTAAAAATTAAAGTAGTAATTAAGGTTAAATATATAAATCCTATTAAATAATATATTAAGTACTTAAAGGTAATAGATAGTCTTTAATTCTAGTAATTATTAATAAGGCTAGCTAATTAATAAAAGTATTAAATCTTATTTCTCTTATAAAATAGCCTATAATTTTACGTGTTATTTACGAAGATATTAAGTAATTTATACTAGTTAATTTAACTTATAGCTACGTTATTTCCTTTAAAGTAATAATTAATAATAAGTTAAAGAACTTTAAGTATAATTAAATCTTTAATTAAGCCTTTATAAGTCTACTAAAAAGAGCTACTTATTTAGCTACTATTAAGGTAAATCTTAATAAGAACTTTTACCCTTAAAGTATTATTTAAGATTTTATAGTCTTTTAACTTAATACTAGTAACGTTACTATTATAAATTAAAGGGGAAATAATATTATAAAATAACTTAAAATATAATAGAACTAATTATTACCTAGTATATTATTAAATTAAATTCTTATTAATATTAACTCGTTTAAAGAGATTAAAGGGATATTATTTATTAATAGAACCTAAGCTTATTTTTACGTGAAACACGCTATTTAAATTCTATAAGAGTTTAAGCTACCTTAACTTAAAGATTACTACCTTAACTTAAAGAATACTTAATAAATAAATAATTAATATACTATAATTAAGTTCTTATTTTATATATATATAAGTAATAAGTAATTTTATATTAAGCGCTTATTAATAAGATTACTTTATAAGAACTTTCTTTTAGCTTAATTAAAGTTTATACTATTAATAACTCTATTAATTTTTAATTCAAGTATATTATTATAACTTTAATACGTAATAATAAATTAAATTTTATTAAAGACTTTAAGAGACTTAATGTAACTTTATCTTACGTTATATTAGGTTAAATAATTATAATAAATAATAAATTTCTTATTAAGTAAAATAATATTCTTAAGAAACTTTAATAATACTATAAAATAATTTTTAAAAGAATAAACGTTATATTAAATATTCTATTAAAAATTATTCAAACCTATATACGTATAAATACCTTATTAATAACGTTAATATTAACTTTACTTTTAATAATATTACTTATAATCTCTTTTTTTTAATAAAAGGTATTAATATAATAAAGCCTTTACCTAATAAAAAATAAAAAGCTTAAAGAAAGTATACGCTTTTATTAATAAGTAAATAAGCTTATTAAGTTAAATAATTACTTTAAGTAATTAGCTTTATTATTAATAAACTAAAAAAGGTATCTCGCTTAAATAACGCTAAACTAATAATCTTTACTATTATTAATATTATAATAACTAGCTATAAGAATAAAGCTACTAATAGAGATACTTAAGATAATATTAATACTACTAGTATAAATAATATAATAGCTATTAATAAAGATACTTAAGGTAATACTAATATTATTAGTATGAATAGTATAATAGCTATTAATAAAGATACTTTAGGTAATACTATTAATACTAATAGTAATAATTTACTATATTCGTAAGAGCTCTGCTACTAATAGAGATACTTAAGGTAATACTAATACTATTAATATAAATAGTATAGTAGCTACTAATAGAGATACTTAAGGCGATACTATTAACGCTAATAGTAATATTTAAGATAATAATACTAACTTAATAACCGCTAATAGTAATACTTAAGGTAAAATAATTAATAATAATAATAATATAACCACGTTAAAAAATAACGCTTAGGCTAAGAATACTATTAATATAAGTGTATTTATTAAGTGTATATAATAAGAAAGAGAATTAAAGAATAAAAATAAAGGGAAATAAATAAAAATAAAGGAATTATATAAAAGAGAGGAACTTATTATACTCTTTATTATTAAAGTAAATTTCTTTTTTTTTCCTTTATTATTATAATAATAAAGCTATTATCTTTTTTTAAATAAAGAGATATTAAGGCCTATATAATCACGTGTAAGATACTATTAATATAAGGCTTATATAGTTACGTGTAAGGTATTATATTACTATTATTATACTAGTACTTTTAAGCTAGCTCTTTTCCTTTAATACATGATTAACTTCTTAACTTCTTTTAGCTCTCTTACAATATAACTTGTCAGTTGCATTACGAGCTCTTGTGACCTCGCTATAGCTCCCTTCCGTGCGCCCTCACACCGTAGCTGCCTTGCCATGACTATACGATATAGTGGTGCTTCGGCTACAACACATTTAATTTCTGCGTGTTTCAAGACTCTTGGCGTTAAAGCAAAACCAACTCTTCATTATGCATCTTGCATTGACGACTAATGCTCGTGCCAACCCCTATTTCTAGACTCAGCTACTCATTCCGAGCTCAAAAAAAGCGAGACGCGGCACGAGTATTAAAGGGACTCTCCATCCTCTGTAAACATCGACATGCTGACCATCACTGGCTTTTCACTGCTGCATATTGGTCTCTACCGCTCAACATTCGCTCACGTCCCAGCTATCACTACCTAGATCGGCAAGATGAAGTTTCTCAACATTGTGCTCGCTGTTTCCGGCGCCTTGGCGATTCCGCGAGACCAGCAGAGTGCCGAGATTGCTCACAGCGCAGAAGATGTTTGCGGGAGAGCCGAAAACATCAACATGGACAAATGCAAGACAGACACCGAGGAATGCATTAGAAAGAGTCTAGCCGAGCAGGAGCTCGCAGCTCTCCCACCAGCTACCTGGATCTTCTTCTGGGCCAATATCAAAACATGTGGTCTCTTGAAACAAATTCAACAAGAGAACATGGTAGGCAAGGATCCATCTTGATTCAAAGATTTGCGTCACTAACCCTGCTGTAGACGGTGAAAAATTTTGTTGCCTTGCATGGCTCTGATGCCTCCAAAATCGAGTGCCAAGTAGAGGTACCTGCGCCCTTTTCCTCTTCAAGCACCTTTTCTACTACTAACACTTGGTCCCACAGGAAGGCAGCGTTTTGCACTGCGACGAATGGTCTCCGGCCAATCCTGGACCTTGCCTCGGCGAACCAAACGATTGCCACCCGTTTAGCGAGCTTCCCGAGCTTTGTGCCAAGGCAGGGGGGGTAAGTGATTCAACTCGTGTCAATACGAAGAAGTTGCATGCTAATGCAGCGGACTGCTCTAGTGCAAGACGTGTGAATCCGAACTTGTCAGCAGGTTCGGCGGCACTCCTGTATGTGACCAAGCAACTAAGCCCTATCTCATACAAACATACTAACCCCCATTTTAGGGCAGTATCAAATGCGAGCTGGAAAAGTAGCCGCCTGGATGGAAGCTATTGAAGCCACAATACACGAGCATTGTGTATCGGGCTTGTCTAAGATTGTACCTTTCGAAACTTGAAACGATCTCTGTAAGAAGCCTCGGCGCGCTACTTGCCTAATAGGGATTCGTATTATTATACATGGTTCTTTGTCTCGAGCGGTTGAATGCTATTAAAGGAGATAGCATTATAGTAGTATTAGCTACAAACAGAAAGCTTTCTCTTTATATCAAGAACTGTTTGAGACTTATGCCTAAGAGAATTGTGATACATGAGCTTTTATTAACAAATACGCTATAAAGAAGATTGCTCAGGTCGGAGCAGAGACTGTTAACAATACAATCCCCTTAAACGTCGTAGTGCACTTACGTGAGAGAACTTTATATTGCCTGTGCCATGGTAACTGAAAAGTTTCCTACGCTCCCTGTTGAATGCTACAGTACACTTTTTTATGTTACACAACTTGTAATAGCCGTGTATAAAACGTCTTACACGGCGATCCCTTCGCAGCACACGTATGTTATAAGATCGAGGAATCTCTTGACGGGCAGGGTCCGAAATCTTCTCATACGCCGCTGATATAATAGTCTTATCGTACAAATCTTTCTGCCGTTCAAGGGAGAGGGCATTTCTTGAGGCTTTCGTCTTTGAAAGTGGGCTTCGGGCTCTCCTAGATAAATACTTTGAACGAAGCACTTTAAGAATTAAAACGCCCAGAAGTATGTGCCGGCTGCCGGCCAAGTTGAGCCCATGTGGTAATGACCTGATCCGTTGAAATATTGCGTCGAAACGGAGGCAAAAAACATGGACGAAAGCCTTTTAAAGGCCGTATCGCTTGTAATCTCTTAGCACTAAACCAGACACTGGCCATATTCCATATTCTTTCAATAATCATCACAGATTCTGGCAAAGACTTGCGTCTTACTAGAGGAAAGCGGCTCAGCAGGTTAGTCGGAGAGGAAGCTTTGCCATTAAGGGATAGAAGCGGTCGGGTCATATGAGCCAGAAGGACCGAACATGGTCGAGATTAGAGAGAGATATCGTTGTAGGTAGTAGGCTCTCTCCCGCAGCGTATGGGGGCTTCCTGGTTCATCATACTGAGTCTCGGAGGAGCCTAGAGAGCAGAGTCTTGGAATTAAATTAGCTACATAATATACGGCGACGTAAGACATACAGCGATAGCTTATATCAAAGAAGGATCGCAAAACCCCATCGTCCACTTCTGTTGTGCGTCAAGAAAAGCGACTACCGTCAGTTTTTTGTGCCAAACTAGCCTGCAAGAGAGCTCCAATTATAGCATCATGATGGTTCGGACGGAGTGACTGGGAGAGCATTACTGAGACGGGAGGTTCCGAAATAGATGAAGCTGCGATGGCTGGCGAGCCTGTCAGAAACAAGCGGGATGGTGAGGGGTTATGGCGACACGACTTCAGCACGGAATGTCGCAGGGGAACCGGTTGGAGAAGGGTGGGATTATTCAGCACTCAGGGCTCTTTCGATATCGCATGAGAGCAATGTCTTTATCGCCTAATATAAGCATCCGCTGCGGCAGGAAACCTTGTGTTTCCCTTCCGTCCTCAGCACGTTGGCTATTTAACTACTGCTCTCAGCCTCGCCATTCAGCGCGGCTTTCGACTTGTAAGCCAAGTCGTTGACGCTGTGCCGTGATGATTCAGACGCTACATGACGTGTAGCTGCATAGAACGTTTCATTGGGCATGAATGCAGCTGGTTTGGGCTCTTCAGCCTTGTGCGGAAACCCTTCATAAGTGGCACAACCCCGCGAGACCTTTCTGGCTGCGATATCAAAAGTGTATGGCATCATTGATTCTAGTCGGTCTGCACAAACAACATGCATCCCTCTACCATCAGCGCATCTATCCCTTCAGAGTTTGATGACGAGGTGGACGACGATCTCCCACCCTCTGGGGAAATTTGGGCTTACCCATGCAAACTTGCGTCGTGTCCTGACTACGGAAAATCTTGGCTTTTGCGCAGCAACTTCCTCCTTCACTTGAAAGAACAAGAGGTGCATCTGGCAAGCGCGGCAAGCGCAGCCGCGCGCCGTGCCATCGAATTGCAGTGGCGCTATAGCACTAATCCCCATTTGCCGCCCCGTGCGGCCCCCATGTTTCGGTCTCGATCGGATCCGGAGGAGCATGTCTGGGAATATGGATTTCGGGATCACACCGGCAAGATAGTAAACCGCAGGGGAACACAACGGCAGATGGAACAGGATCTGGCCCAGGCTCAGCGACGCCAGGGCTAGGAAGCATGTGGCAAAAAGGGCACACTGGATTACATATTGGTGTTTAATAAAACAGTTATATGCTGGGAGTGCAGACTTGAGCTGTAGATTGAGGTTGGACATTCTTTGCCGTCGTCTCTGACCAGTGCAAGTGATGATAAAAACAGGGGCCACTTTCAGGTTATAACCTCCTGGGACTAGCCCTCGACGTCCGTCTTGGCAAGAGGAGAAGAGAGAATCCAATTCTTCCGCGTATCTTCACCTTTTGAGTAAAGCTGGCTGATAAGAGTCCGCGTCACGCTGTCAAGTATCCGATTGCCCGTATTATGGAAGTCTAGGTAGAAGTAAAGGAGACCCTGCGTATCAAGTCTCATGCATTACATTGGGTTAGTTGTGCCTTGAACACCACCTCGGACTTTGTTCACAGCTTCCCCGACTTTGATATTATTAGTAATACCTAACATGTAGTTTACTAGACGGTAGACTAACCTGCAGAAAGAACATCTTCTATCTTGCTTTCAGCTTCCACCTTTTTTGGAACTATTCGACAAAGAAGCTCTTTGGCATACACAGTAGTCACCCTGCCGCGTAGCTCTGCTGTTCGTTGTTCTTGTGTGAACCTGAGTAGTAGTGCGGCAAGGTACTCGATGCTTAGGGCGCATATCCATCCTTAGTACAACTGGCATTCGACGGGAAGCAGGTGGGCGGATCAAAAGAGTCTATCGACATGTCCGGCTACCAAGTCGTTGTCGCTTTCTATTGAGCGTGACAGGAGCACTTAACTCTAATTGTCTCAAGTCGGCCTTTGTGCAGCAAGCACACCGCAAAGAGCAGCTGAACGAATTGATCTGCGACTTAATTGTAATTGCCAAATTGAACTGTCGTATCCTTCTCCTCAAACTAGCCCTAAATCACAGGTTTTCATATCAAATTGAACTGTTCTAAAATGACACCTTGCTCCTTCAGCGCAGCCGGAAGAAGCCGGGGATCTGAGTTCATGGTCCGACATCCACTTTCGTCTCTAAACCATTGGAGGAAATAGGGATCATCTTGAGTCCTCTCTTTAGTGATCCCAGACCAATTAGGGCTGAGAGGTTGCAGCCGCGGATCTTGCAACTGACTGTGATGAGTCGACGTATTCTTATAAACCGGCACGTATACACCATTCCTGAAATCCATTTGGATTTTCCAGTCATCCGGAAGAGAACCCAAGAGACTCTCGCCATCCAACAAGCCAGGTACAAAGCAGATACCTACCAAGTGAAACATGTCTTGCGATTCATGAGGGCGGCGAATAAGCATAGGCGTGTTGCAGCCCAGCAAAGTGCACACAACATCGTCTAAGGAAAGGTCAGCTAATGTCTCCAAGGGAAACAGACGATGGCACGAAGCATCTACCTTTGTTGACATGCTGCCCCGCTACACCGACATATCCTTCCTTTGTTGTGAAAAATGTGGCCCCGTTGGCGACGCCGTTTCGGAGATGTTGTGTTATGCTATTACGCTGGTCTGTCCCGGATAGGAGAGCAAGGTAATGCTCGCGAAGCTCGGACAATATTGGCCAGGATACGGCTCGAGGAAATCTGTCTCGAAAGCAACCCTGAAATATTGCTTCCAGGAAGGCGTCAAGCATTGAACCACCCGGCTGATAATTGCGTTCGCGCAGGCCCTCGGGCTCCCAGGTGCGGATAGTATCGAAAACCTGGTCTGGACCCCCCTCGGCAGCACCACCGACTGATTCTACACAAGCACATCTCACACCAGTCACCTGGAGGGTATTGTCAGATAGCAGTGAGTAGTGCGCCTCTGACTGGCCTGACGCCTGCCTGAAATGTCCTGTGCGCCAACCGAACAACACCGTCCTCGGTCCGCTCTCCCAGTTTGGCACCCAAGAAGGTACCCCAGGGTATGGGTTGGAAATGGAACAACACTGAAGCAGCTCAAGACGACTCGTGAGCTGTAGATGGGCAATACTGGCATCTGTGAAGACTCGCGCGGCTGGCTCTGTGTATTTCGGCTCGATCAAGCTCGAAAATTTCGGAGAGGCTAGACTGAGTATGCCATAGATTCTGTCGTGCGGTATTTGGCAGTTTCTCCGTCTAACGAATGCCAAAAGGTGTAAGAGAGATCTTGTCTTTGGTGCAGGGATCCCCGGGAAATGAGGGTCTAGGATCGATTTGATGTCCTTCGGGGTGCTTTGCTTGGCGAGTAGTATACCGATCGCCTTCCTGACATGGAGCCATGGCATAGAATAGCCGCCGCAGTGCACGACTGTGAAGCGATTTGCGAGTGCAACCTCCTGAGTAACCCAGACTCGACTAAACCAAGCTCGGTTGAACAAAGACTTGATAGACGACCATGTCCTGGCATCGAATCTGTCGTCGGGCAAGGGACAGAAGGGATGATACCAGGTAGGCTCTGACGCTCCAGGGGTAGCGTACAGGGCGTTGTCAATGGTGAGCTCTACCTGCTTTGCTAAAGACTGTAGAGTCGAAAGTGCATGTGTGCTGTCTTGGCCTTCTGGGCCAAGCCAAACTATCACGTTTTGGGCAAAAGAATAGATACTCCCCATCCTTTTCACCTGGATGCTGCGCTCTGTATCGTCTTTCTGATTAATGCAGATTGCATCAATCCAAAGCACCCTACTCTTGTCCTTGAACCGAAGATGCTTCAAGGCACTGGCGAGATTGCCACCGAGTTCTATCTCATCGAACAACTGACGAGCAGACATTGAGCCGCTAGACACATTGGCTTTGACAGAGCCGAGTTCCGATGCCCAAGTGTAAGACAAAGCTTCGTACTTTGGTTCGTACAAGGGTCCAGGCAGATAATTCTCCTCCTTTAATTCGTAACGAGCTCGATCGAAGCCTGGGTCAGGATGGTCCCATGAGCTTGGTCTTACATTTGTGTCTCGGTAGGCGAAGATGTATCGGCCGTCAAGAGTCTCTTTGACGACTCGACCCGATGGAAGTGTCTTTTGCAACTCCATGACGCTATTTCTGACTTGATATGACTGCCGTGTTGGTTGCTTTAGTAGCACATGGAAAATGTCCAAACAGATCTCATCGTCCCCATTGCCGGGCTGCAACCGAACGAGCCTGATTTCCTCCGACTCAGCATTGAGCACTCGATATGAGTAAGGAGCCATTTGAGATCCAACGTGGCGTTATCAATCGTGACCAACTGGTCAATGAGAGCCTGCGGTATTTTGTCCACTGTGTTGCTTGGGCCGTTGGCCAGGCTGGCGCATGCTCAAAAGCGACTTGTCAAATAACTGATGTATAGGACCAGAGTAGGCATTGAACATGGAAGGAGGACTTGAATATGCATTAGTAGCCATAAGACGAATCTATCGTCGCAGTTTAGCCTTGGGCGTACGTCGGCAAGTGGCTGTAAATATATGAGCAGTTAAAAGTGAGGCGGAATCGAGCTGAGGCGCACATCTGCAACCTCACCAACGAACCAGCTTGCACCTGCTTGGGTGGCAGTACTGCTGCCCAACGACTTTTAGTCTGGGAGGACGACTTTTAGTCTGGGAGGATTCCAGTCCAGAAGGACCAACTTAACCCGGTACTCTTTTGAGCAGACAGTAGAATTCTTTCCATGAGACTACAGTGCCATCGTGTTTATGACAGCAGCCTTCCGCTACGAAGAGCCTGCCTAGCCTTTAATGTTACTTTTTCTCATGGAATCGGCAAGAATCTTGGCACGTACCTGTCTAATAACAACATGCCATATAAAGGGTGGTTATAATGGTCATATGCTTCACAGTCTTGTCTTGCCGTTCATCTTCTATTATAATGCCCGTTTGACCGTACCAAAGATATGCTAATTGAAGCTATGGCATAATTCCGTGGTTACGACGATCGAATCGATACCAACCGACTAAAAAAATGATGCACAACACTGAGTTGAAGAAGGAGTGAACAAGAATGTCATGGGATTCCCATTTGTAGGGACACTGTACGAAACCGCAGACCCATGCCTTGCCTTAACGCCCTTTGAACTTTCTTGTTGCAGTCATCGAACTTTCGAGAGTCAGGGCTCCCTTCTCGGCACTTGTCCAAGGTCTGTCTGCGTTCAGACTCTCACTTTTCGATTGTCGGAGCAGGCTGAGTCGCCGGTTTGGACTCGATGATTTTGCAAGGGTTCGGCTCATTGCCATCTGTCTAGACGCTCTTGAGTAGACTTTAAGCTCTGGTAATCGCGAGACGGTAAGACTTGAAATTCTCGACCAGGGAGTTTGCACAACTCTTGTGTGCCGCAGATTGTTCCCGTCACAGGGTTTCGCGGCAGGTTGACTAATTCCTGCCAAACAATGAGGAATGGCTGGCCGAATTGAGGCTCAGCATGGAACCATTCCATGTAACTTTCTGAACTGAGCTCTTTTTGCCTTGTGATTTTCGACACCGTTTCCTGCGAGAGTTACACGTCGGCTTAAAAAGATGGTGCTAGGCATTAGACAACACCTGTGAGTGGAACATAGCGATGTCCTTGGGGTGAATCCATCCCTGCAGTGAAATGCGTTTCACGATATTGTTGAACGAAGCGATTTGCTGCATTGCATGATTTCATTCGAAATATTTTCGACAACTTGGATGACGATAAATATCGTCATTCCCTTTTGGACTATATGTCTCAGCGGCAATTCACCAATGGAGTATTGCGACAAATCGCTCCCTTAAACAGATCGTATTGGAGAAAAAGTTTGCGCAAGGGATGGTCGTACACCTCACGACGCAGAGAGCACATTTGCCATTGAAATGGATATAGAACCAAGAACGGGGCCTCCATATCGGGTTAAAATTGGTTCATTATATTGGAGGTATCAGAAAAGCGAGTTGGCCATGTCAACATAACAGTTTGAGAGACATGAGGCTAAGATATAGCAAAGCCTCACACCAGGAGAGTTGTGCCATGCTAAAGTCACGACCGTATAGTTAGTATAAGCCAGGCCAGTTCCTAGAACATCATAAGTACTGTAACCCTTGTTAGCTATGGTTGTAAGAGTACCACTACACAGGCGGGCTCTTCACAATACAAATGTATTGTAGACTACTCCGTAGACGGTCTGCATCTCTATAGCAGATCTATGTCTTGTACTCGCAAACTCAGCCCCTGAGATATACAGGCCAACATTGCAGGATCCCAAGCTTTGCTAGCAGTTATTGCTACTCGTGCTTAATGAAAAGAGCATACTTCACTAATGAATCCACACGTAGAAAGACGGATACGGCAAACGCAAGTTAACGTATCTCGATAGCGATGTAACGACATCACTCGTCTGTGTTTGTGTTTGTGCTACCGCAATCCCCCCGCAACAAGGACCTCCTGCCCCGTCATGTACCCCGTTTTCGCAAACCTACCCAGCACATTAGCCCCGATACTTGCGAAAAGTCAAGTCTACACTTACAAGATGACGATATTGGCCACTTCTTCAGGCGCTCCTAGTCTATGGACGGGCACGCTGCTGGCAATAGCGAGACCCGGATCCGTCGACCTAAGTTCTTCCGGGTCGGTGTTGCTTTGCCAGGTGCTGTCTTTTGTTGGTAAGTATTCAACAGTGATAAGGAGAGGTAACACGCACGTTGCCTTTGGCGTGGGAATCATGCCTGTGGCGCCTATCATGGCGGGTTGGACCTAGATGAGATGTTGTGAGTTTCGATGTAGGCGGCATGGAAGAGCTGGACAGGGAAAACTCACAATATTGACTGTGATGCCTTCGGGGGCCAGGATCGTCGCCAGATTCAATCCCATTGACCTGCGGGGGCAAAACACTCAGCACCACGACTGCTCCAAGCCACCAGTTATAGGACACTCACTACACTCACGTCATGGCCCCTTTGCTCGCTGCATAATGACACCCGTTGATGCCCCCTCCCCTGCTTGCGATGCTGCCCACCAGAATCACCCGCCCCCAGCCTTGGTCCCTCATGCCCGGTAGGCACGCCTTGGTGACGACAAACTGGCTCCGCGCGTTAATCTCCAATGTGAGGTCCCAATCGTCTTCCTCAATGTCCTTGATGTCTCTGATGCGGCGGCCTGTGCCGGCATTAGCGACTAGGATGGAGATGGCCTTGTGTCTGGCGCTGATGGCTGGGTTGGACAGGACGTTGGGGACCAGTAGGCGGGTGGCTTCGCGAGAGGAGAGGTCTGCGCGGGCCGTGCTAAATAGTTGCTTCGGATGAAGCCGTTGGAGTTCTTTTACGAGGGTGTCTGCTTTTTCCTGGGCTCGTTTTTAGTTTTGTCTTCTTTTCTCTTCATCTTGCTGTCGTGGTCCGACAGGCCGAGGTGGTCTGTACTTGGCTGGATGAGTAGTGAAGGACAACATCACATCCTTCTGCGGCGAGGTTTTTGGCACACGCTGACCCGATGCCTCTGCTGGTGTTATTGCATGGCAAGTTAGTATCCGGATGCTTTTGTTCGGGTGCATGTACGGGCAGGATGGGATAGCTAACGTTGCGCCGGTGACTAATGCCAGGCGGCCGTGGACGGTGTTGTCCACCGCCTGGAGAGAAAGTGTTTTCATTGTCGAGGCTAGCTGTGGCTGGAGGAGCAGGTTTGTATTCCGAATCAGATTTGATACGACTGAGAATTAAAGATATAACCTGTGAATACGATGAATGAAGCTCGCTCGTGAACCATGGCCTAGCGTGAACCCCACTGGGTACCACGGACGAGTGAGGGGCTTTTGGAGGGGCTTCGGCATTTGGAAGCCGGGCGGCCGCCCGTCAAGTCGCACGACGCTTGAAATCAGCGTAGTTTTTTGCGTGCTGTATAGACTAAAATGGCAGATAGCCAAGCGTTCAGCTGCCGGGCCCATAGGTGCACAGCGTCGTCTAAGTAATATCGTGAGGAAATTTGAAGGCTATGTGATTAATTCTGACCCGATACCACCAATGTCCACCAGAAGCTTGGTCTATAAATCCAAAAAGTAGAAGAAAGGAACCCAAAATCGCTCAACGCCGCCAAATGAATTTTATAACCCTGCCAGATGGACATGCTATGTTCGTCCAATAATCCTCCTCAATTATCCCACTTACAAAAGACTCGATAATGACAATACACCCGCCAAAAACATCAGATTGGGTATAAATGCTGCCGCTCCATTGACGGGGGTTCGCGCCTCGCCTGGATAATTGCATGACACAGTGGAGTTGTCGTTATCTCGTTTTCCGTAGCTCACGTTGAAAGCGTACATGCCCTCTTGTGGACACTTGAAGCCAATCTTTGACGGGCAGCTCTGAACCACTTGATAGCAAATGTCTTCGCAGGGCATAATTTCCCTGTACGGTCCGGGCTGAATATCCGTGTCGATGAATGCATTTCGTGACGCATTCTGAGATGGCACCAGTGCCAAATTCGTTCGGATATCATCGGGTAACATTGTGCCGTTGGGAAAAGGCTGGCCGACGTTGCGGATAACGCTGAACCGTGACTCGCCCTGGAAGTCTTCGCATCGTGGGATACTGACGGTGCAGAGCCATCGCTTGTACGCATTTTTGCAATCGTCGCACGTTCTAGCCAGCGAGTACCTCGAGGTCCGATCCGTCTCGCATTGTATTTGCATCATGACTTTAAGAAAGTTGTCGTACATTCTCTTGGCATAGTTATCATAAGCCTTTGCCAGCTCTGTGTTGTTGTATTTTCCGTCATTTCCAGGCACCGCATATTGAATTTCGTCACAGAATTCCAAGTCTGTCACCACTTTGCAATTCGGTGCTGCAAGATTGTTAGCAATCTGGTCCTTTGGGATTGTGCACGAAAATCGCGACATAAGGACGAAAGACGGGCCAAAGATGACAAGTATTTCAACTTACCGGCGTTGGTCTGAAATGATGTTTCCTGGAAAACAATGCTACCCGGGTTCGTTGGAACATCACTACCGCCTATCTGTCGCTTTGAATTTACAGTGACATTAGCGGGCTTTACCAATACGCCGCTGTAGGCCGACGTCGCGTTGAGTCCCACAACATAGAACTGCTGCTTTGGTAGCCCTCCTGGTCCTCGAAGTGTCATGGCCGTCTTAACCATGGCATTATTCTTCGCGTTGCCCTGGTTATTAGAGCCAATGAGAGCGTTCTTCTGGAAACCGCATGCTGAACGGCGCATCCCATCCAACGACGTTGTATCTTTGCCGCTGACGTATAGCTGATAGGGAGGATCCTCGCTCATTACGTGTCTAAGGTTGCTGACGTCGTCGGTGAGATTTCGCGTCACAAGCAGGGCCGAGGTTGAGTCACTATCCATCCACAGAAGCTCTGCACCGCCACTTGCTTCATATCGGTGAAAATATGTGATATTCGAAGCCGCTATTTCAAAGTTGTAAGTCCCCTCGAAATCATCGGACAGCTTGGGGGCGTAGATTGCAACATAGACATCATTGGTCGAGTTGATGCTAAAAGCGACGGCGCCTTCCGTGAAGACTTTGGAGGTAAATCCTTTGGCTTCGACGCCATTGGCCGTGCTTGTAATCTGGGGGCATCCTGCGTCGGTATCGTTTGATACGAACAAGGTCAACTGTCCGGGGGACATGGCCTTCTTGCCCGCCTTGATCGTTGGTTGTAAACATGTGTTTGCTGATATGTAGATTTTACTGTTGCCTCGACCATCCCCTAACGAACCCTTCTTGACAATGTAGCATGTTGGTTGGGAGCCCGGGCCGACATTCAATCCCAAGGGCCTGTTGTTCTCGAGTGGCGTAACATCTTGGGCCCGTCCGAGTATGCTGCGGGTGAAAAGTCTAAATATTGGTTCGTACGACGAGGTCTGCAATTCGGTTCTGTCGGTATCGAGAATGGCCAGATCCATCCACGAGGATGAGTCGAGAGGTAGCTCAGCGGCGAGAGCTCCTTTGGGCGACGATAGCAATAAATACAATGCCACCACACAAAGCGTAGCGGTCAGCGACGCGACAAGGCGCGATTGTAAAGGGCTCAGCTGCATATTGGCTACAAGCCCACCCGGGGAGTCGCCGTGCGACAGTCTGCTGCTTGTCAGAGCGAGCTTGTCGTAAGGATTCAATGATGCTGGTCGTAAGCCGTTGGATTATTCTACGGCGGAAAGCGCTGACAGCTGAAGCAATGAATGCATGGGACTACAGTCGGCGGTGCACCCAATGTCAGTGGCGCTCAATCATAATTGAATTGCCATCCAATGCGAGGACATGGGTGGTCAAGTCGGATTGACAATGAGAGAGAAGAGAAGAGACGGCAAGCAGAGGGCAGTAAGCGAATGCGCTGGTCGTTAGATGAGGTTGAAGCGGTTTCACAACGGCCGCATCAGCACGACCCACTTGCCGCTACACGCTGGACGAGGTATCAACACTGGGGTCGGGTGTTGGTCGGCTTCTAAAGTTGGCATTGAGGCCTCATGCGCCATGTCTATCGGTGGCGTATTGTCGTCGCTTCCAGGGAGAGCCGGGTCGCCTACAGCAGGAGGTAGCTGGTACACCCGCGCTGCACATGTCAGCACCGGAGCTCAATGGCGCCTGGGAATTTCAAAAGGAAGCGCTGGGCAGTGGCCCCTGTGGCGGGCCACTGGGCTAATACAGGGACCCGGTGGTGCTGGCGCTCAGCAAGCCACTCCGTCTACTTATTAAGTCAAGTAGTGCTGCCACTTGACCTGACAGAGCCCATTGGCCCAGATGGCCGCCCGACGTGAGTAGTACCAGACTACTCCGTACTTGACTACACTCGAGCAACCGCGAACCAGATCGATCAGGGGTTACTGTTGCACAGCACCCAGCCCATGTTCTGCGATTCCTTAGTTGCGACGTCACGTGTGTCAACCCCCATCGCCGCCAGATCACCCGGGCAGCAATGTATGAAATTGGGTGTTCATCGCTGATGGAAGACAACGTAATGAAGAGCCAGCTGTCTACCTAGGTAGGTGTTAATCCATGGACAAGGCGGTCGCAAATAAACGAGGCTGACTGGGATTCCTGAACTACTAGCTGCCGCCAGCTGCAATCACAAGTTAAGCTCCTTGCATTTGCATCTGCCTCCCTCTCTTCCCGAGGTAGGCCCATGCGCAAAGGCACACCTGGCTGGCAGGGTAAGTAGTAGAAACAAGTTTTCAAAGCAGCTCAATTCACCACGAAATCGTAAACCTAATCCCAAATAGCAATAACGGAGACAAGTAATACATGCGCCATACATTCAGATCCAATCATAGAATTTCCGACGAAATCTATCATCGCCGTCGGGAAAACTCCGTTCCGTTGCCCTGGCAAGCCCCCGCCCCCACAGCTATTCGTCATCAGGCAGGTCTTATCATCATGATAGCTCGCCTGTAGTCGAAGGCGCGAGTCTTGCCAGTCATTACCACCAGTTTTTTTTAGCGCGCGCGAGCGTGTGTTTTTGTCCGTTCATCGTGCTCTACATTCATCATCTTGTCGCTTATCATGCGTCATCGCCTTCAGTGAACGCCACCAGCACTGTCCCTAAACAGTGCGCAGCTACGAAACTCCCGTCTACGCAGGTAAATGGGAGGCGTCACTGATAGATTGCACAGCGAGTAGTTGGCCCGAGACTTAGTCAGACTTGTCAAGACCACCAGTCTTGGAGCGCAAACCAGCAGAGGTTGAGGCGGGCTGCTGGAAGTATCGGCTGAGAGTGGGGACCATGAAAGATCGGAAGATGATCTCGGCACCACTGGGAAATGGTAGTTGGTATTTGGAACGTTTCTCTTTTTCCGCTGGGTGTTTGACTTACCGGAACATGGGCAGAGAAAGCCACAGGAGGAAAACAAACTTGAAAACAAAGTAGAAAGGGAACCAGTAGACAATGTTGAAGAAGCTCTCAATAACAGTGAAGCATGAGAAGACAACCCAGTACTATAAAGACAAGCAATAACAGTTAGCTTTTTAACCCTCACGAGGGCCAACGCTCATTCAAGGACAGGAGCCAAGGAGACATGCGTACAGTCAGCCACTGGGTGTCATCGTCCTTGGTGGTGGTGAAAAGAGCTTGGAGAGAGTAGTAACCCGGGATGACGAAGCCAGCGAAATTGGTGAGAAGCTGGCCACCGAGATTGAAGATGATGAGGAAGAAGTAGAGAGCGGCGACTCCAATGACGGCATACGCCTTCGGGACACCAGCCTGCTTCTCGAGGTTGTTCAGCGCAGGGTACTTGGAGAGCTACACAGTTTAGGCGGAAGCAGGCGCCTCAGGTTAGCACATCTCGAACAATGCAAATAAAGTCATAGTGATTTCGATTAGACACGTGCTCAGCGGTACACGAACCTCCTTGTCCAAGCTGCTGAGGTAATTCTGGGCCTTTTCCTGGGCAGACATTTTGAAGCTATTGTTTCCTGTCGGATGTTCGGATCTGATGGCGCGAGTGCAGTAGCTGCGACTGTATCACTGAAGGGAGAGCAAGAGGATGGGTTGGGGTCGAAAATGAGTGGTGTGTGAAGGGTGGAAGTTGGAAAAGGTGTCCTGTTCCAAGTCGAAGCCGCTACTAAAGTATGCGAAAATGTGGACGAGTTCTTTGTATGTGGGGAGGACATCGGGAAGCACCCAACTCAACTGCTCCCAAACAAGTTGCTGGTCCAGCGCAAGTGTACACCTGGCCCAGTGCCAGGTACATGTAGCGAATTTGGTCCAATGTTACCACCAGTGGAGCTGCTTATGTACCTACAGAGTACCTAAGATGGGGTTTCCATGCTGAAGGCCTAGACTAGGGCGTTCCCAGGTACTCGGTTCGACAACCACCCACCCCAAGTCTATAACGAGCACGACAGAGAGCTACACGACAGCTCAGCTTGACTCCCTTTTAATAGACATCGAACGGGCAGCAATTTGAGAGACCCGTCGACCCGAGGGGCGCCGTCGTCGGTGGCTTGTGCCCTTGGGCAAGCTTTTGGGAAGGGCAGGGCCCAATTTTTTGAACGGCACCTGCGGCCACGGCATGTGCAGCTGTAATCAAATGACAGAGCTCAAGTGCTCAGTCACACCTGGATGGCACGGCCAGTGGCGGGAGTTGGTGGGCCGGGCATGGCTTTGACCAGTTCCGTGTAGACAATTAGTTGCAAAAGCAATGATTCGTCTTTTTCGCCTTTGTCAAGAAGCCACACCATTCCGGACTCATGTGCAGCCCTGGTCTGCACCAGACGTTCACGTTCCAATGCTCGTAGCTTGGCTGCTTGGCTCACCAAGGCTAATGAACTAGTAAAGGTCAATTGACAGGAGTCTAGAAATATCGCAGAGACAAGCATCGGAACGCTTGGAAGCAGGAGAGGCAAGATAACGTTTTTGGTCTCTCCGTCCTAGGTATTGAAACTCAAGCTGCCAGCTACTGCCAATCCTTTGCTTCTCTTGTCCTTGTGTAGTTACCTAGGTCATACAGGAATGCCATCCACCCGTCGCCCATAAGTGATACTGCTCCTACCGTACCATCATCAATTGATACATACCTTCGACACGCTGAATTACCTGGTGCCTGGGTAACCCAGGTCTCGGTCATTCTTGGTCAGATAAATACCAACTGTGGACGGTCAAGCTTATGTACCACGAGTTTGCTCTGATGAAGCAGCGTGTGCACAGAGAACTACAAATCTATTCCCGAGCGCCCCTTGACATCTGCCAATTTCGAAAGTTCCCTGTGTCCATGCATATCTTGAACATGTCAAGTGCATGTCCAGGTATGCGGGTAGAAACAGGTTCAGTCGATCCTGGTCTAACTTGGGCGGACGGTCCCAGTCGTCAATCTACCTTGGGCATTGTCTCCAAAGAGTGCAACAAGAGGACGGAGATGATTGTTAGTCATGTACGCAGTACCCCCAATCTCAACTTCCTTCTCAACCCTTGGCAAGTCACATAGATGAACCATCAAAGGGCTCGAGCAAGGCCGGCACTCTCAGGTGATTGAGGCCCACTAGTCGCCATCATACGAGCATCAGTCTGGTAGCCTCCCGATTTCTTCATCTTGCTGGCTCACTTGCTCACTCATCCATTCACACAGTCACTCATTCCAAGCCGCCGTACACGCATGCTATGGGCCGCTGGGAAACCACGGTAGATCCTCCATGTCGTACTGTCTTACCTGCAAGGTACGGTGCATTGGTGTCTTAAGCCCATGACGATAGGTTTCCGGTGATGGCACATCGCCCAGCTCTCCTAAGCCCTAGATGTCAAGATTTCGGGCTCCAGCTCCGTAGATCGGTAAAACACAGAAAGAAAGAAGCTAGAGGCCACATGGGTCGCCAAAATGCCCTGGAACGGGTGAGCCAACAGTGTGCCAAAACCGGCCTTGGCTGCTGGATCTGAGTCAAGCAGTCAAGTCCAGTTGATGGCCTTGGTGATGTCAGTTGATGCTGGAATCTCGGTAATTAATCTGCGAGCTTGCTTACCTAAACCTGCGGCCCAGGTTTGTTTTGGTGCGGCTGGTGCACCCCACCCCAGCTGCAGCTCAGGCTGTGGTTGGCCCGTGGCATGCGTCTTGTTTGGACAAGCGGGACGCTCCTGCCTTCTTGCCTCCATCCCTCCTACGCTTGCCCGCCGCCCGCTTTTTTTGTTTTTCCCATGCTTTTTTCCCTCCTCCCCCCGTTGGCCTCGCAACAGAAAACAACACCAACAAACAGCTGCAAGTCTGCATCAGCGGCGAACCACGAGGCGCGCACATTCAGACAACCAGCGGCATTGCATCTCTGCGCCCGACTGTTGCGGCATTGCGCCTATTCGTTCTTCCTCCTCGTGCTCTTCTTCTTCTTGGACTTTTTGGACGTCCACTTGTTCCCGTCGACCGCAACTCTGCCGGACCACTCATTTACTCTTCGACCCAACAGCCAATGTTTGTTGTTCGGTAGCCCACCTCACAACACTGTTGCATAACACACCACACCACACACCATGGAGCAAGGTATGTCTTCTGCCACGGGCTGCACTTTGTTTTAAAACAACACCCAAATAAAGAAAATAATGTCGATTGCTCTTGGACGTGCGTGGCGGGAACTTTTTCTGACTACCTCTTTTCCTTTCCTCGTTACTAGACAACCCACCGGCGCGCGCTGCCGTCAAATCGAGGAAGCGTCCACAATCCCGCGCCTCGACCACGTCTGTTCACAGCGCCGCAACACAACCTACCATGGACCAGTCGGCCTTCGCGGACTCATCAGCCATGTACGCCGGTCAATGGATTCCAAATGACCATGGTCATGGAAAGGACATGGGCCCCGGCCCGCAAATGTCGCCGGAAGACATGATCCTCCAAGCCGCCACCCATATGCAGACGGCAAACCACGACTTCTCGATGGACGGGTCCATGGGAGCCGGGATGGCTCACCCTCATCACCACCACATCCCTTATCAGCAGCAACAGCATACCATGACAAGACATCCTCTTCCCGCCGAGCAGTACGTTGCCGCCAACGCAAGCTTCACTGAAGGAGAAAGCCAGATGCTCGACCGTGATGACAACGAGGATGGCGATTCCATGTCCGGACCTGTCGGAGCCGCAAAGCCTGCTGCCACTCGATCCAGCGCCAATAACGAACTCGAAATGAGACAACTTTTCACTGCAAACCGCCATCGTAAGCTTCAAGACGTCGCTGGCGAGCTTCATGGTAATGAGCGAGGTCCCAATTCGGAGCGCACCCGTCAGGTTTTTGCCATGTTATGGTAGGCATACAAATACGAACAAGGGGGCTAGCACATAATACACAAGGCTAATACTGGCAAAACAGGATCAATTCTGTCTGTTCCAAAGGGAAAGGCTCGGTACCCCGTGGCCGCGTATACGCGAACTATGCCTCACGGTGTGCCACTGAGAGAATCACGGTCCTGAACCCTGCTAGCTTCGGAAAACTGGTCCGCGTTCTCTTCCCTGGCCTCAAGACCCGTCGTCTTGGTGTTCGTGGAGAATCCAAATATCATTATGTCAACTTTTCTCTTGTTGATGACCAACCAGACTTGAGGGAGTCGCAACCACCTGCTCCCAGACCGCTTCCCGAAGCCAAGAGTCTCTCCCAAAGTTTCAAGTACGTGGCGCAACGTCCCTCAATTTTGCCCGCCCGAAAATTAATCTAACGTTGGTAACTTAGCACTTCCGTCCAGGGCAATAGCAATACTGCAAGTCGTGGCTCCCTGCCCTCGCCGCAAGAGGCTAGCCAAAGCCAGAAAAGCCCTGATCCAGCTAAATCCTCCAGCAGATCTCATAGTCTGTACAACCAGCCTGACTTGGCCAGTATCGATAATATCCGAAATACCTCAACCAAGACGGAACTTGAGCTCTCATTCCTGCCTGCCGATAGTGGTCCAGTGGACCAGCATGACGTTCTTGCCCTTCCAGCCATTGAGCTATATCTTCCTCAGGGGACAGACCCCGATGCTGCCAAGTCATTGTCTGCACTGTATCGTTCACATTGCACATCACTAGTAGAATGCATCCGGTACTGCAGAGAGAAGACATTCTTCCACCTATACACATCTTTCCAGGGCACTTTGACTATGCCAGTCCAAAAATTGTTTGGGCATGCTGCCATAGCACCGTGGATTGAGGGATGTGATTACGTTTTATATCAACGCATGATGAGCATCATTTCCGGGCTGACCCTTCAAGTAGTCCCCAAGCCAGTTCTTGACACCCTGCGCAACATTTCGGAGAGACTAGTGCCACATATTCGCGAGTCTTTTCAGGGACAGCCCCAGCATGTTCTATCGGCTAAGGAGGCACCCGCCGCCCTCTTTTCTGGCCTGATAGACCGAGCTCTGCGAGTCAACTTGACAGCACATGCAGCAGCAAACATGCTGTCGAACCCTGCCAACAGGGACCAAATGTATGTTGACTGGATTACCATGATTCGCGCCAGGAAGGTTGCCGAGTGTGTGCCAACTCGTGGCATGGACGACGTGGTAGACATTCTAGTAACAGAGATGAGAGACCTTCTTGATCCCGTCAATGTTCCGTGGGAGGTCGAATGTCTGACAATATACGGGGATGTGGTAACCCGAAGCGGCAGACAAACCGATGATGGCAGTGGAGCAAACTCGACGGGCCAGAATGTTCTGGAGAGATGGGTCAACTTCCTGCAGAATCTGCCAAACAGATTCCCATATGCTTCACACACAGATATTGTGTGGTGTGTTGAGCGGGTTGGAACCTCTGTCATGCGCGACCTCACGCTTGCTCAAGGAAAGAGTTTCGGCTCTTGGTGGGTGACGAAAACTTGGGTTGACGAGATGGTCTGCTTCTTGGCAGAGCAGGGTGGTTTTATGAAACAGAAGCCTCGCACCCAGCAAGCCACAAACACATCTACCAACACTGAGACGGCAGAGAAGGAGTCTAGCCGCCAAAACTCACGGTGCAGCAGCGGCAGTGACGAATTGAACCTATCTAATGTGTCTCAGTCACAACCTGGAAGGGCTCCGTTTCCTCCACCACCAAACAACCAAGCAACACTAGGTGTAAGCGGTGGAGATCCTCACGACGACAGCGGGATTGGTATCCGAACACCAGAAGAAGAGTTCCCAATGGACAAGTTTTCTTTTACGGGAGCTGAAAATGTCGGCATGACTGCAGAGTTGACAACTGGGGCGAGTTTATAGGGATATTCAAGAACGGCGCAAATCATCGGTGGCAGGCATTGGGGCGGCGTTTGGCTAATGGTTTGGGAGGGGGTTGATTTCAATACCCACTTATTGTTTTTTGGCAACGGGACAAAAATTAATCAAGAGATGATTGGGATAATGACGGGACGAAGTCATGACAGCTTGTGACTCGGCTGAACAGGGGAGGGTGCTCGAGAACCCTGAATGGTCCGAGACTTGGCCAGGCGAGGGTGCGTCTGTTTCCGAACTTTCAGCAAGAGACGGGATTGTTTACCAGAATCTGAGCTATGTTTTTTGTTATTGGTTTTTTACAGTATTCCACGAAGCAGGTGTCCGTGGGTGTTGGACTCTATTGCTCGAACTGTACGTATATATCGGTTGGCAGTTGTTGGCTTCATGCTGGTTATAGTGTTGTATACATGCAATACATTTTACGGTTTTTGCATGTTTCTTGACAACATTTGATACGTTTCTGGGCAGCTGGATTTGGGTCATGTTGGTTAATACTTGCTAATAACGAACTCACTGCCAGCTTCCTTGGACCGGTGGCCAGTCGGATTTGTTTGCTTCGTTGCGAGTTGATGTGTCATCAATTTCGTCCACTTTCGACCGCAACAGCACTCCAGATGTGAATTATGTCCGAGTGGTGATGATTTATTGTACATCGGCGAAGAAGCTTCCTGCGACAACTCCGATCAAAGGCGCAACGGGGGACACGAAGGAGGTCCATGTCGAACAGGGCATCACTCGGCGGGTATAAGCAATATAAATGAGCGGTACCTGGCTTTGCTCAAGAGACTACTTTGAAGCTTATTTTATTGATGGCCACAGCCGGCATGTTCAAAACCACGAGCCTGCTGTGGGGTGCTGAAGACAGTTGTTTGGACGCCCGAGATATTTTTGGCTGCCACTATTTGTCGAGGCTCGGCGTGGGCCAGTGGGGTCAACACATTGCGCCATCGAGGATTGGTTAGTAAAACAATAATATCCCTTGATTTGATTGGGTGGAGGGAGGCACAAGAATTTCGCATGGCTTCTTGAGGCTTGTATTCTGGATGCAATGGACGCTGTAGAGGCGTTTGGAGGTGATTTGGTTGCGAGTCGGCGGGTTGGCACCAAGGCTGCCTTGCACATGTGATGGCATGACCCTTTTATACGAGGGTATTCAGCTGTTTTGCAAGACGGATTTTCGGAAGAAACAAGTGGGTTTTCGAGGTGTGAAATTGGGTATCTGGACAACTGGATAGGAGTGATGTGATGTGAATAGAATCATGACTGATATGGGGTGCTGCCGATTCTCGGCGGACTCCCCACGTGACATCGGCCGAAGCCATGTTGAATATCGAGTGTGGTTTACCGAGCATTCGTCGCGGTCGGAAGGAGCGAAGATGTCCGTCCCTTGCTCCACTGCGCCTGTCGCCAAGCCTCCCAGTTTGCCTGGTAACTAACTAGCGCAGAGCCGTACAGGCACTTGGGTTCGGGATGTGGGCTCAACTTTCGTTATTACTCACTCACTTGCTCTCTTCATTTTTCGAAGCCTCGCCATCTTTTTGCATTCGAAGGAAAGAACACTTATATCGGCATATACATACTTTTTAGCGCTGTTGCATTGTTTAAATCTTCTCTTGAATGCAACTGTCCATTGCTTGTATGTGTCGATCGCCAATTGGTGCCTGATAGTCCCGACCAATTTTTTTTCTTCTGGTGGTCCGGTTCCGGCTCTTCAACGTTCGACTTCGCCGCGGGGGAGGATAGCAGGAATCAGGCACGATGGTGAGCTCGACATATAGCAATGCGTCGGATAAGGGCTGGATAGTCCAGAAATTTGGGGGTACGAGCGTCGGCAAGTTTCCTGATAAGGCATGTGGTTATTTTCCTGAGTAGCGGTTTTACAACGCCACTGTTTGACCTATACTAATCTTGGAGACAGATTGCTCGCGATATCGTCAAGTATGTTGGGTGAACCGCCAGCAATCAGTGGCTCTCCTCTTTTTGGGGGGCCGTCTGGTAATTGAGAGCTAACTGTTTGAGCAGGACAAGCTTGTTAAAGAATCGTGTTGTTGTGGTATGCTCTGCGAGGAGTACGGGAAAGAAGGCCGAGGGCACCACCAGCCGGTGAGTCAACGTCGAGGCTCTTGCCACTGCACTCTGTTCTCACAGTGGCTTTCAACTTTTTTAAAAGGGTCCAATTGCTAAGCTTGCGCCTACAGGCTACTTGCAGTCTATAAAATTTTGAAGGAGGTTGGACTGGCCTATGCCACATGTTCACCAGAGGAACAAGTCGCCCTCATTGAGCAGGCTAATGGACTCATCACGGACATTTGCAACGACCACGTTTTTGCAGCAGAGGCCTACATCCAAGATCCCAGTTTAAGAGAATCTCTTGCCCGCAAAATTGAGGCTCAGTGCCAGGAGCTCATTGAATATATTCTGGCGGCCAAACGCTTCAATCTCGAAATCAACTCAAGAGCCAAAGACCGCGTCATTAGCTTTGGCGAGAAACTGGCTTGTTTATACATGACGGTTCTCCTGCAGGATGTTGTACGTTTTTTTTTTTTTTTTTTGCTCCGGCTCTTCCCTCCTACTTTTCCTTCGACCTCTATTCTAGCCTGATATCACATGCTAATATGCAGGCCCATTTCGGGCCGTAACCTCACAGGGAGTTGATGCAGAATATGTTGATTTATGCGACATTCTACACTATGATGCTTCGGCACCTGTGGATTCCAGCTTTTACAAGGCTGTCTCTGCTGCTTTCGCGAGGAAACTTGACGCATGCGGCACTCGGGTACCCGTCGTGACGGGCTTTTTCGGCAACGTTCCCGGCAGTCTTATTGATGGCGATATCGGACGCGGGTACACGGATTTGTGTGCAGGGTTGTGTGCAGTTGGCCTCAAGGCGGAGGAACTTCAGATTTGGAAAGAAGTTGATGGCATCTTTACGGCAGATCCATCCAAGGTTCCAACAGCACGGCTTTTGTCATCGATTACGCCGTCCGAGGCTGCCGAATTGACGTTCTACGGGTCAGAGGTTATTCACCACCTTACTATGGATCAGGTCATCCGCGCTCAGCCCCCTATACCTATCCGCATCAAGAATGTCAAGAATCCACGTGGCAACGGTACCATTGTAGTTCCTAATCCCGTTCTTTCGGCAAGTCACCAGCTGCTTCGCAGTTCTCCGTCAGAGGCACAGTCTGTTAAGACTCCTAAGCGACCTACAGCTGTTACCATCAAGGATCACATCAGCGTCATAAACGTTCACTCCAACAAGCGCTCCATCTCACACGGTTTTTTTGCTCGGGTCTTCTCCATTCTCGACAAGTATGCCATCTCAGTCGATCTTATCTCCACGTCCGAGGTTCATGTCTCGCTGGCGATTCACTCTGGTAGCACACGCGTTGACAACTTTGCCAATGCGAAGCAGAGCCTGGCTGAATGCGGCGAAGTCAGTGTCTTGTCTAACATGGCGATTCTCAGTCTTGTTGGCGCGGATATGAAGAATATGATTGGTGTTGCTGGCAAAATGTTCTCTACGCTCGGTGAGCATAACGTCAACTTGGAAATGATATCTCAAGGTAAGCAACTGTCTGGTGTACTCCGACATTTACGGTCCGTGCTGTGAAGCAAAAGGGCCAGCAACATTATGCTTGACCGCAATGGCGATTTACTTTTTGTTGCTAACGCAGGTTTTACTGTAGGCGCGAGCGAAATAAATATCTCATGTGTCATCGAGGCGCGGGACGCCACGCGGGCTATGAATGTCTTACACACACACTTGTTCACGTTTCTCGAATGAGGCCGCACTTATAGTCATGATGTCAAGTAAAGTATGTGTAGGGCAGATGAATTGTCCAGCGACTTCTCACTAAGAGGTTCGGAGAGTGTGGCCATTGCATCACGTTAGAAATAATGGCCAGAAAGGGACTACAAATGTCAAGGTAGTATGGTCGGCTATTGATCAATTGATTACGGTGGTGGGGTCTGCTATTTATACAAGGGGCTTGTCGGCATATCTGCTTTCTGGCGAGTGGACATTTGCGTTGGATAAATCATATTGGGAGTTTCGGGGGCAAAGGTTCATAAAATTATAGACACACATGCGCACATTTGAACCTGTATGAGAACTGGAGTGACGGTTTACTGTGTATCATACAACCGTATTCATCAACCCAAGTTACAGACCAAGAGAGACTAAATAGCCGTAAAGCTGAATATATACGGTGGCAATTTCAATATTCAATGTTCACATGTGCCATTTAGCGTGGAATATGAACAAAGGGGACACTCCAAATCCTGGTTCAGGGTAACAAGTTGGGCGATTGTTACGTCACAACAGCTGTCCGGCCCGTGGGGTCGTAATAATGAGGGGCCACAGCTCTCTGACAGGCTGCCTCGAACAGGGGGCCTGTCAACCTCAATTCCAAACCGCGGTTTGGCATTGAAGAACGTGGCGACTTACCTCTTAATTGCATCTCCCGGCAGAGTTCAAATATTTCCTGGGCCACACGAGGCCAACACGATCATGCGGGTCTGTCATACCCGGAGAATATAGCGGGTGCTTGTAGCTCTTCTCTCCACGCCCATCTGAGCAGCCTCGCCCCCTCGGCTCGAGTCTCATCCACCGACATGATGAACAGGCACAAGGCTGCCGGTGTTCCCAAGGGCGCCGGCATCCTGAATGCCCTGAAGGCAATGGAGATGATTGATGTGAAATCAAAGCTCCCTGCTGGTATGAAGCCCTGCTGTCCAAGCTAGGATACTGAGCTGGTGTTGCATGCTGTTTTGGGGGGCTAATGCTTGTGAGAAACGTTTAGAGATTTTCAACCACGTTCTCGATTATTTACCAATCGCCGACCAGCTACGCGTGGCACGAACGTCTCGTAAATTACAAGAAATGGTGTACGACGACACAAGATGGGTGTCGCGGCTAAAGAGCATGAATTGCTGGGACGAAAGAGAAGCAAGGAGGCGGTTTGAAGAGTCTCTGCGTAAGAGGAGAGAGGCTGCGAAGAGGGCTTCACAAGCTGCAGCTGCTCAAGTGGGGGGTGCGACCAGAGGCCAGCTACAAGCAACGACATTGTTTGACGCGTCTGTCGAAGAGCAGAAGCGCAGAAGGGCCGTGTCTGAGCTGCGAGACGGGTTTGAGACGCTGAGTGTTGCCGGTGGCGGAGTTGCTTCAGGGAACGACGTGCCCCAGGACTCGGATGCTTATCTGGAGGTGTTTAAGAATGCGAAGAGCATACGAGGCGCCGCGAGGCAAGAGTACGGCAAGATATACGGCGCCCTGGCACCGTTTTATCTGGACATTGTCAAAGCCAAGACGCACGCTGATCCGATTGTGTTCAAGGCTTTCCGTGATCCGGAACGACAGGCACAAATGCTGGCGAACTTGCTGCGGTTCGCAAAGAGCGACTGGTCGTCGGGGTGTGACGAGAGGGAACAAAAGCTCATTAATATGATGGGGTTGTTTGAAAGCGCGGTACTACGAGAGTTTGAGCAGGGCTATGAATTCTGGGACGTGGATGGGCGCATGAAGCGGTATGCGCATGTCTTGCACACGTTGAGTGGTGCAAGGGGTGGCATCGACTTGTTCATTCACAAGCATCCCATTTTCAGCGATCGCGAGTTGACGCTGAACCCGGTAGAGTGTCTGAATGGTGTCGCGGTAGATGAAATCTCATTAGAGCCGTCACGGAGGTTCTTTGGCGTGTTGTTGGCCAAGGTCAATGAACAGGCCGGTGTTATTGATCGCATCTTTCCGAATGCAAATGAGGTGTTTTGGGAATTTGTCGACAAGGTGAGAGAGGATGTCATCATGGAGTACACCACGCCGCTTTTTGACGAGAGCCACGAAAGAAGCATATCAGCGTATTTGAAAGCCATTTCTGGTGTCTTCGAGCAGTCCATGCGCTTCTTTCAATCGCTGACGCCGCCGCCGCCGAAGGAGGTGAAGGACACTGAAGCAGATGATGTCTTGTTTTTGAAAGCTAAAGAGCTCTCGCTGAAACTGTTTGAACCACATCTCGATCTATACCTGCAGGAAGAGCTGGACTTCTTCACCAAGCATGCGGAAATGGTGGTATCGCAGTGGGAGAAGAAGCTGTCCGAGGAGGACTCGTCCCTCGAGTCATTTTATATGGCCAATGTGAATCGGTCTGCTGAAAAGTCAGACTTTTTGAGCTCCTTCAAAAAGGTGGTCATGATGCCAGTCACGGTGCTGCCCAGTTTCCCCATGGGCTCGCCATTTGCGACGGCGAAGCCGACTGCGTCTACCTCCACGTCTGCGGCGGGGAATGCCTCGACGGCTGTGACACCAATGCCCTCGCGGCCGGAAACACCGGGTGTTGGTGGGCGGGCTAGTCCTATGCCCGGGTCAGGCAAGGCACCTACCGATGAGCTGGCGGCCAAGGCAGCCATCATGGCGTCGAAACTCGAGGGCATCAAGTCCCTCTGCAGCATCGAGGTGGCCCTGAACCTGGTGCATCTGGCGAAGACCAGTCTGGGCCGAGCAGCAGTCTTGATTCCCCTCGGGGGGCAGGTCGGCGGCGAAGCAAAGGAGCAATGTGCGACCATGTTCGTCGTGCTGCTCCGTATCCTAGGCCAACGACACGTCAGGAGCGGCTTTGAAATCGCCGTGAGCCACCTGTCCAACTACAATCCACGGGACGTAAGCGACCACAGCCAAAAGGGCGTGGCGCCGCTAGTCACCTTCATCGAGCTCGTCAACGTGGGCGACCTGATATCGCAGATGATTGACGTTTTTTACGAACAGCAGCTGGCGGCGCCGAAAATCGCAGACAAGAACGACTTCCTGGACCCGGCCAGCTTGGCCAAGAAGAAGTTTGAGCAGATGCTCGACGAGAGCGTCGCGGCCGGTCTCAACAAGGGCATCGACGTGCTCATGGACGAGGTGGAATACCTGCAGTCCACCACGCAGCTCCCGACCGACTACAACCCGCGTCCCGTGTCTGCGCTCTCGGCGGTGTCGGCGCCGGCTCTCCCCAACGCGGCGGCGTCGGAACCGGACATTGGTCCGACACAGACGGCCCGGCGCATCGTCCAGCTCGTCTCGTCGCACACGAGCATGCTCGTCGGCACCACGGACAAGGCCATGCTGGACGTGTTCAACGGCGAAGTCGGCCTGCGTCTGTTCACGGCGATATGCAAACACCTCAAGCGGCAGCGCATCTCGACCGACGGCGCCATCAAGCTGATTGCCGACATGAACCTGTACGCAGACTACGTACGCGGGCTGAAGCACCCGGATCTGGTGGCGTATTTCGCGGCGCTCCGGGAGCTGAGCCAGATCTATCTGATTGACGCGGCGCACGCCAAGGACATGGCGGCGGTGATTGCGGACGGCGACCGGTTCGGCGGCGTGTTCAGGGCCGAGGAGGTGTACGAGTATGCGCAGAGGAGGGCCGACTGGTACCAGGTGAAGCGGAGCGTGGAGAGGGCCATGTACGGCATGGACTGTGTGCTAATGTGACCGAGTGGACATGTAACTATACACTACGTAACTTTGTGCGTCTGGTCTCCAAGAATAATATATTTTACACCGGGGTGGTAAATCCACTGCTGGGGGAAAAGAAAAAGAGGAAGGGATAGATGGCTAGATGTCGGGACGTAATATGTGCCTTGAATATGAACTACCTGCTTCCCTAAACGCCAGTACCCAATGCTACCTGTTTGTTTTTTCCGCGAAACCCAAATTTTTCTTGAGAAAAAAAAAGGGGGAACAGAAGAAATACAATATATATCCTCACCCTCCTTTCCCCCGTCGGGCCGGAGCGAAATCCATCGTCATAGAGATGATACGGTTAGCGCGCTCCAAAATCCAACTTTCTCGCAACCTTGGCACCCCTGTCGTCGTCCACGACGCCAGGTCTCCTCTTCAGGTCGGCGCCAATCCTCTCCTCGGCACCGGTCGTTTTCCGCGGCAGGTCCTGCTTCCTGGTGGGCTTGGGCTCGGAATGCCACCACTTGTGGAGGAGCATTTCGCGGGCGGTGATGCGCCTCTTGGGGTCGAGCGCGAGGGTCTTCATGAGGAGGTCGACGCCGTCGGAGCCGACGGTGCCGAAGCGCATCTCGTACCAGTCCTTGGCGTGGACCGGGTGCTGGCCGGGGACGGTGTACTCGGGCAGCTTGGTGACGCCGGGCCAGTTGTCGTCGGTCGGGGTGCCAATGGCCTCGCAAATCATCTTGATCTGGTCGAGCTCGTTGCTGCCCGGGAGGAAGGGGGCGCGCATGACGAGCTCGGCGAAGACGGTGCCGACGGACCAGACGTCGACGGCGCCCGAGTAGTGCCTGGCGCCGAAGAGGAGCTCGGGCGGGCGGTACCAGCGCGTGATGACGTTGGACGTCATGTTCTGGTGCGGGTCGGCGAAGCTGCGGGCCAGGCCAAAGTCGGCGAGCTTGACCTCGCCGTCGGCGGCGATGAGCAGGTTGTTGGGCTTGATGTCGCGGTGCAGGACGAAGTTCTCGTGGCAGAACCACACGGCGCGGGTGAGCATGCCCATCCAGGCCTTGATGTCGGCGGCGCCGTAGCGCACGCGGTCCGTGTCGCGGATGAGCATCTCCAGGTCGCCGAGCGGCAGGTACTCGAGCACCAGGTTGAGGTTCTGGTCCTTGGAGGAGAAGACGGACAGGAGGGAGATGATGTTGGGGTGGTGGAGCTCCTGGAGGTGCTTGAGCTCGCGCACGGCGTCGGGCGCCATGCCCTCGGTGTATTCCTTTTGGATCTTGATCTTTTTGATGGCGACGAGCGTCGAGGGCTTGGAGCGGAGGTGGCCCAGGAAGACGATGGCGTAGGTGCCTTCGCCTAGCTTCTTGCCTGGGAAGAGTTAGACCTCTCGAGGTGAGTATGGGCGGGAGGCGAGATGGTTACCCTTTGCGTATTTCCGCTTCTCTTCCTCATTCATCTGCTCCGAGAGGTCCAGAGTGGGAGGAAGCGTCGGCGCGGATGTTGGGGCGGGCGCCGCGGATGGTTTCGGTGTGCCATTGGATGAGGTTGGTGGTCCTGAAGCGAGGTTCTTGAGCGGCGAGGCCAAGGTGCGCACTTGCTCTTGAGTGACGGTGACGACGGGAGAGAGAGCCATGTTAGTAGTCCTGGGAGGGGCGGCGTCGATGGCGGGGAGCGCAAGGACCGGGTCGGCGCAGCTTCAGAACATGGATGCTGAGTGTGATGTATTATGTATGGCGGCAGGCGGTCGACATGTGAAGTGGCAGATGTGCCAATGGGCGCCGATGAAACGGTCGGTGATGAGGTCGGTGAGAATGTGTGGTTGTTGGAGTTGCGGTTGGAGCACTTGAGCTTATCTTATCAATTGATGGTGTGCGGAACTTGGCGAGGTTGCGAGTTGGAGCTGCTTGGAGCAAGCGGGGCGCCACCAAAGAGACAATATAGAAAAAAAAAGGAATCAAGGCACCGACAGGCCGTTTAAGTTGCGCCTCAAGCCATCAGTGCTTTTCGTCCAGGCACAACGGCTGCAACGGGTCGACTATGACGACGGCGCGCGACCTGTGGAAGCGCCCCCAAATGCAAAAGGGCGAGGCGGTGTTTTTGCCCCGTTCCCCTGATTCGCAACGACGTCGTCTTTGTCTCTTCTCGCAGTCAGGCTACGGACAAGCTATGCCAGTGCGACGGCGCCGATGCCGACAACTAGGCCGGCACTCAACTCGCATTGATCTTGTGTCTAGTACGTCATCGCCCGGCCATAGCGGACCCGCGTAAACCCCGAAAATCCAACCCGTCGACGTCTCACCAAGTCACCACCATGTCGCACGCTCTATGCAATATTCCCATTCAAATACCCTCATCGTAAACCTTGAAGACTCAGTTGCGCAGTCGGCCTAGCATAGCCCGCTAGCCTTGCTGTCAACACCGTCTCTTTCTTCCGCATCCTAGCCATGGGGCTGTATATCCAGTGACACAATATATGTACCAATTGCCAATACCACCGTCTACTTCCCAACGACAAAGTATTCTTATTTACACAGTCTCCTGACATATATTCACCATCCGTCTTTCCATCAGTCACGGAAAACCAGCCTCATCACACCATGGCGGCACGCGGCCTCTTTTCGTACTGGGTACCGTTGCTCCTCCTCCTCCTCAGTCAACATCCAAACCGCCATCACACACACACGCACACACACCAACTAACCAACCGAGAATAGCTGCTCCCCGTCTTCTCATCCCTGGTATGGCTAGGCATGCTCCTCGGCATGCTCCTCCACTGGATCGTCGACACAAACCGCCGCATCTACCCGTCCATGGAGCGCGGCGGCACAATAGCCTACATCAGCGACATTGGCGCGCAAAAGCTCAAGCCGCTCTTCATTGCCGGCTCCGCCGTCACCGTCGTCCTCCTCGACCTGGCCTTCTTCGCCGAGCGCTGGCTGCGGCACCGCGGCCGCCTGGTGCGCAACCAGTCGTCCGGCGAGCGCGCCCTGGTCTGGCTGAGCATCTTCTTCGCCCTCGTCGGCGCCGCCGGCCTCATCCTGCTGTCCATCTTTGATACCTGGCGGCACAAGAAGCTGCACGACATCTTTCTGCTCCTGTTCATTGGCGGCTACTGGCTCTCTGCCGTCTTTATCTGCTGGGAGTATCAGCGGTTGGGCATCAGTACGTCTTCTCCCTCTGTCCCCCCCTCTCTACACATAGACATTCTCTTTAAACTTTGAAAATCATTTCATTTCATTTTTTAACCTCTTTTTTTTTCCGCCTCAACTAACGGCGTCGTAGAAAACCGGCAGCATCGCATCCTCCGTTCATCCTTTTGGATCAAGCTGGCATTTATCCTGGTCGAGCTCGTCCTGGCCATTGTCTTCGTCTCGACCACCTTCACCCACAACAACAACGTCGCCGCCGTCTTCGAATGGGTCATTGCCTTTATTTTTACCTTTTACGTCGCCTCTTTTATTATTGACCTCAAGCCAGCTATATACACAAAGAGCCACGCGGCGAGGTTTGAGAAGACGCATCAGATGGAGGATGGACTCGATGTAAACGGGCGCAATGGCCTGGGCGGGTATGGCTTTGTGGCTGATCGGACTGCTGCCCATTTTTGAGACCAATCCAAGACAATATTTAATGCAGAGAAAAATAGAGAAGAGAAAAAAAAAAAGAGAGAGAGAACAAGGGACACGCCAGGCGTATTCGAAACATGGGGGGTAGAAATAGATACGGAATTACCTATGTGATGGAGATATCCTGTGGCATCTCTGCCATGGAACAAGTGTGAGTGTGGCGACAAGTGGGCGTGACGATCTGCCCTCTCTTTATTGGGCTTGACTTTTGGACATGGAGAATAATGACGGAATATGTAAATAATGAGACTATTTGACTTTGACCGAAGTATTCAACCTGGTACATATACAACCATAGCCACATGTGCATATATCCTCACGCCCAAGCTAGTCATTCCAACGTATCAAAACAACAGAGGCCGTGTTACACAAAAAAGGCATCTCGCAGTTGCCATCAAAAGCGTCATCATCCTGCTGCGTAATCCCCATCAGCAAATACTTGACATACTTCACTCATTACATTACCTATACCCAAGCCATCAGTTACCGCTTTCGTTCACACACCACTTACACGGCACGTACAAGATTGTTGATACAGACATCTTATTGATCCATTTCTTCCCGGAATCGAGAGTCACGAGTCGGACTGCTGCTGTTGCGAACGGCAGGGTCCTCAATAGGCCGAGGAGGATCCAGGCTGGCTTTCCGGCTTGGTCGCTCCTCTTCCTCAACACCCTTTCCCTTGTTCTTTGCCTCGTCCCTGAGCTCAAGTTCCTCCTCCAACGGAGTGCTGATCGGGCTCACCGGGCTCACACCTTGAGAGTCCCTCTTTGCTTCTGCGTGAGCAGGTTCCTTGGCCGCTTCGTGCTCGGTTTCGTGCTCCTCACCAGACTTGCCAGCCAGGGCCACCTCGTGCATGCTTGCGGATGGGTTTTCGATGCTCGCCGCGGTGCCATCGCCAGCGTGATCTTTCATAGAGGCACCGCCAAAGAAGCTCCTCCGCTTTTTATCTTGCTCTCCGATAGACTTGCCGCGAGAAAATCGATTCTTGATCCAGCCCTTGACCTTTGCAGTGGGGGAGGTTGATCCCTCAGCCTTGTGCTGGGGCGAGTCGGATGCCTCGACAATTGTTTCAACGGCAGGACCGCTGCCAGTCGAGCCGAGTTCTTGAGCAGTCTCCCCGCGAGTTTCCTCCTCGCGCCCGGCCTGATTTTCGTCTGCTTCTTGCGTATGTTCACCCTGGTGAGGACTCGAAGTAGTTGCTGCAGCTAATCCATGCTTCGACCTACGTTTCTCCTCCTTTGCTTGGCGCTTCTGCTCAGCTTTGGTAGCCTTCTCTTCATCTTTCCGCGCCTTTTCTTCCATTTTCTCCTGGAGCTTCTTGGCCTTTTCTTCTTGTTTCTCTTGCTCTGTTGAGTTCTGTCAGCAAAACGAATACAATAAGATCGCGAGAGCAAATATCAATACCTTTGTCCTTCTTAGCAATTTCCTTAACTTCGCGATCCCGAGCCTTCTCCTTCTCTGCTTGCTCCCGTCTTGCTTGTTCCTCCATTTTGAGCACCTCTTGTCTCTCACGCTCCGTCTCAGCTTTGTCATTGATATCATCAAGCACAGGCTGGATCTTCTTAGACGCAATAGCGTTGACCTGTTCTTGTGTCATAAACATGCCACCTCCGAGGTCAATCTTGCCCTCGGAATCATCCGTTCGTGCTTCGTGTTGGGCTTGGGCAGCCTTCTGAGCTTTGGCTTCCCAGTCAGTGATCAGAGTGGGATTTGCTCTGCCAGTTTCTTGATACACCTTCTCGTCCATGCCGTGCAATTGGGCCTTGACGTTGCGTTGCGCTGCCGCGAGAAGAGCCTCACGATCTTTGTGTCTCTTTTCCTTGTCAACTTGCGATAACTTGCTGGAAAACATGGACATTTGCTCGCGAATCTTCTCGGATTTCTGTCTATCGTCCAAGTCCTCATCGCTATGCGAGCCCCGTCGTCCCCATTTACGCGACATGGAAAAGCGGTGTTTCGGGTTGCTCGCCTTTTCGTTTCCATAGTACTCCTGAAACTCCCGGCTTTGGTGATACTCATCGTGAAGCTTAGCGATGCGTGCTTGGGCTTGCTTATAGGCGGCATCTTGAAGGTTCATATATTGATTAGGTTGAGACGCCCCGGAGCCTTGTCCGGGTGCGTCCTTGGGCTGGTCGGCCCCGAGTTGCTGTCCGGCGTACATCTTCTTTGCCATTTCAACTGCAGATTGATGAATTTTCTCGTTGTAAGTGCGCTCGTCAACCTCGGGCTTCACAGGAGGATGTGAGGTGAACATGTTTCGTGTCATGGTCGTAACAGAAACAGCTCCGACCTCTTCCACGCCTGGCTTAGCCGTCATGGACTGCCGGTGAGCCAAAGTAGCACCGTTAAGAGCGCTAGCGGCAGCACTAGCTTCTGAAGCCTGAACGTCCGCTAGGCCAGTGGATGAGAGGGGACGTCTCATGGCTCCATTGGCGGCGACTAGGGACTTGTCCCCCGGAGGAGTATGAGGTCGTCGCGGCTTCCTCATAGACTGAGATCGATTCTCGTTGAATGCCTGTGTAGCCGCCGAGCTACCATGAGCCAGGCTCAGAGGCTCTGCCGACGCTGGCCTGTTCGCATGAAAAGCCTGGGTCGCTGCAGAGTTTCCCCATGTATCTTGTGAGGGCCCAGACGTAGTGGTATCGGTCTTCTTGAGAGCTGCACTGGCAGAGCCAACAGCAAGAAGCGCAGCCTTGTGGCCGTCTGACTGGGTTGCCGGTTCCCATTGCGGCGCCATTTTGTAGTCCTTGGCCAGAACGGCGGCGGCGGAAGCTGAAGACGAGGGATCAGGCTTCCAGAGATTGATGGGTTTCTGGTTTGACCAGCCGAGCGATGCAGCGGCGCTGGCTGCAGCGCCGTCGGGAGCCAACCCTGACGACGGGAAGCTTGGTAAGCTGCGAGGATCGGCGTACTTGATTCGACCTGTTTTGTTCTGGACTGTGACTCGGGAAGAATGTGAAAGTCAGCAACCAGTTTAGATTTGGGTGTCAACAACCTGGGGGTGGAGTTTCGTAGAGGGTGTGCGCAACAGAAAAGAAGGCAAGAGCAAGGTAACGTAAAGTGAGAGCGTGAAGATTTGAGAATGTGAGAGCAACACAAGGCATTGTGCGGAAGGAGCTAAAAAAAACCAGGGTCCCAGTGCGGAAGCTGCGGCCGAGCCCATGGATAATAGCTTCGGCTTAAATGCATTGGTCTGGAAAGTTTGCTACCAACAAACTCACGTCACGCTGCTCAGCGTCACTTGCGTAGCTTTCTCTCCCTCTCCCTCTGCCTCTCCCATTTGTTTTCCTCTCTCTCTCGCTGTTTGATTGACTCACTTGTGGGAGGCGCTTGTTGCGCGGGAGTCTCTGTGGTGGCCATAGCTTCGTGACTGTTGGTACCACAATTGTGGCGTCGAGCTAACTTCAATGATAGGCTCTTTGAGCTGCACCGGGTATCGCGTCTGTCAACGCTCAATGACGGACCGCTTTGCGTGACGATGGAAAAGCGTTCGGATATTTCTTTTGCGGTCTTGGCTGATCAAACAACAATAGACCTTTGCCAGATGCTGTCTTGCGATTGGTTTCGGGTGCTTCCGACTGTGCGTTGGTGTTCGTATACGCGTAGGCGCAGATCATTCGTGTTGATGCCGTTCTCTATCAATCGTCGTTCACGCTGCAGGGGCTCTCGTCGACAGGGATTATTCGGCAAGCAGTGGAGCCAGGATATAGTACGATTCGATTGAATATCGATGTTATCCGTGGACTGACGAGTGACGGGTAAACCAAGACGCCGACGAGTGAAGGAGGAAGGCCAGCTTTTCTCTTCTTGTTGCGGGTGGAGGATCAGCTAGGACAATGTCATCGACTTGGCTGCATCATGTAGACTGGAAGGGGCATGAGCCACACTCGCCGGGACTGATGTTGCTTTTATTCTGGACAGCAAGTACTCGCCCGCCCCGGCAAAAGTTAACCAGGCGGCGACAAGCTACATCTCGGCAGGGATTGCTCCATGGTGGCTCCATCTCCATGGCTATGAGCATGCGAGGGCTGACTGGGCTGGCTTGGCTTCAGCCGACTAATCCTAATACTAGCACACCACTAGTTTTGCTTGCGCAGAACCAACCAGCCAGTGGTGATGAAGAAATAGGTGGGATGGCTGGCACGAACTTCGCATGTTGGCTTGGCCCAGCTTGACCTTACCCCAGATGGTCTGCTGGTTGGACTGACGTCATGCGACCCTCCAGACAAGCCGGCAGATCTTGGTAATGACGCTATGTACCGGAGTACTCGAGTGCTACGTCCATGCATCCTGGCATTCCGGCAGGATAGTTCCGTCGTGAACGGGGCCGTGCATTCGACAAATCTGAAATCCTGTGTGCCACGAAACTTGGGTCAGTTTCTGTGCGCGAGACAATCAAACGAACCTGTCTGGTCGTACGGTGTTTCTATGATGTTCAGAAGCAAAGAGGACAGAGGACAGATACCGGGTGTCTTTTCGGCTTGCGAACCAATCACTGAGGAGAATTAAGCCACATGGACTTGCCAACATCATTTCCAATTCGCGAGACGTCGTATCTTAGGTCGCGTCCAACGGCTGATGCTTGTTTCCTGACCTTTTCGTGGCGCGCGATTACCTTTACGGACCCAACGGCCAATCCGCAATCCGTTTTCGTCGTCGCTACGGAGTACTCCGTACGTCTGTCACTAATTGCCGACCGGGGGGATCAACATCCTTGTGCTGCTGAAGCCAAATACAGTATCTACACTTTAGCCTACAACATGGTAACCCCTACAGGCCTTGCCGATGCCAACCTTGGAACCCAACCCTGCAGGCGTGTCAATACATACATCTACATAACTTACATGTTACTCCGTATACTTATACATGCAGGCCCGGCCATGGTCTAGGGAACGGCATGCGCCGTGTGAATTCGTCTTTGTCATGACGGGGCTGCAATTGGAAGAGTCCGACTCTATTGGGACGCGATGACGTCGCTCTGCTTTTCGGTTGCTCCGTCGCGCCAAAAAAAAAACGGGGCTCTGGAGCCTTTGGGTGTTTGACCGCCTGCGACGAGCACGACGAGACAGACGGCCAGCTCTTGGTACCGCACAGGTCGAGGAGGAGCCTTACAATAATATCTATCAATCGATCCTAGGAACCGCTTCAACCCCGCTGCACAGCCGCCATACTAGACCTGGCCAAGCCAACAGCCTTCTCGCACTGATCGTTTGGCAATGTCTGATGGCTGTCATGCTTGTCGAACTTGGCGTACGTTGGGCTCATTGGTCATTAAACTTCCGAGATATAAGCTACACATTTTGGTACAAGTATTCATTTAACAATGTCTAGGATATGGTTAAGCCCGGCGTCCAGCTCCAGTGCGTGGCTAACTTTAGAGACGTCGGCCAATCTGTCAATGACTTTCTCAGCCAGAAGTGCGTCACCTTTTACGCAATGAACAATGAAGCGGCATAATATGAATCTTCTCGTATATATACTAACAGTAGGTTGAATCCGCAGACGGGTTCGTGAAGGGTTCATCTTCCGCTCTGCAAGACCAGGTACATGCCCCTTTATGACGCGTGTTAATTACTCACACTTACCCTTCGAACATAGATGATGCTTCCGCGAAGGACAAGTCGAGCATCAAAAATGAATTCGGCATAAAGACCATCATTGATCTTCGGACCAAGTACGTTGCATCGTCTCGAATCATCACTCCAGCGCTCTAATTGGTGCTGGATACAGGACTGAACTGATCAAAGAGGCTGAAAAGGTCCAGGCCGAAACGAGTAGCAATGCCTTTTCTTCTTGGTTCTCTTCCCAGCCATCTCTGCCACGTATCGACGGTATAAATTACGAGGAGATCCGGATTACCGGCCGGCCATTCGAGAGACATCTTCTCAGTCAACTGTCATGGTGGAGCTTTTTGTAAGTGCCTCAATGAACAGTATTTACACCTCTCTCTCTCTGTGTGTGCGTGTGTGCACATGTATGCGGCACACAAGGCTCGTTAGAAAATGACTAATAGTAGCTACGCTTAGTAAGGTCATTTTTCTCTTCATCTTTGGATACAGAATCGAAGCCGTCAGGCTCATCGCGACCGAGGTCATGCTTCAGCGTGGTTTGCTCGGCCTTGGAATTGACACAATTGATCACTCTGGCTCCGAGATTCGCCAGGCTCTTGAGCTGTATACCACTTCGAGTACGCTCCCCGTTTTGGTTCATTGTACACAGGGCAAAGATAGGACAGGTGCGTTTACAGCTTGCAATGAATGACCAAAGACGCGGGGGGGAGGTTGTTGAGTGGATAAATCTAACATGGTTGTGGTCATGACAGGACTCATTTGCATTTTGATCTTGATGATTCTCGATGTTCCTCTGGGCGCTATAGAGCATGACTACTTCCTGACAGATCCAGCTCTCGAGGCAGAACGCCATGAGAGGCTAGCTGAAATCCGACAAATCGGCTTGACAGATGATTGGGCTGTCACGGCTCCTGAATTGGTCATTGGGGTACAGAAGCATTTAGACGTGGTGTATGGCGGATTGGAGGCCTATCTCGATGACATTGGGTTTGATGGAATCCAGAGGGCACAACTCCGGGAGCTTTTGCTATATTGAGCACCCCGTACATTGGTATTTAAATAGTCTGCACAGCGGCTTAAAGAATTCATCGTCTCGATCTTGTAGATGTATATTGTCTGTCTATGTCTTTCTAAACCGACCTTGCAGCCAGCACCGATACATTTTAAGCTTTTCGGCTCTGTTTATCAGTAAGCGTCTATCGACACCGAGATTCTCTATCTCGAACTTGGGCATGTCAGGGTTGTCAGGGTCATCGGCGAAAGCTTCACCTGACCATATCTTGGCTAGTTCGTCCTGTTCGAAAAAGTATACGCGCGTTCCATCGCCTCTGATGTAGAAGTTCTCTTCCAGATAGCGCCCCTTGCGGAAGCGAACCTGGGCAAGGTCCCCTCTTCCATAGTCTCGGAAGCAGACCAAACCGCCAGGTTTTAGCACTCTATGTACGTTTCGGACAGCTTGTGCCCACTCTCTGGGCGACAGGGCTGAGAAAATGAACACCATAACTGCGACATCTACGGACCCTTCTTCAACGTCAGGAGGAAGGCTTTCTCCCGCGACATCCCAAACATCGGCTTGGATGAGTTTTGTGTCATACGCCTCATGGTTGCGTATAACCTCTACAGCAGTCTTGGAGAAGTCGCACGCATGGACTTTTAGTTTGGGATTCTGGTTGTTGGCAAGCACGGGGAATGCTGTGTTACCAGCGCCAGCGCCGATTTCAAGCAATACCTTGGGACCAGCATCCTCCTTGGTTACTTCAGCAAGGACGGGGAACTCTTGTTGGAGCCACTTGCGGTTTTTGAAAAAGTTTGAAGCGTTGTTTTTGTAGAAGAGATTCCACCACTTGGCTGGATTGCCATTGAACCTGCCTGCAATCCCGCGTTAGCACACGAGACGAATGATTGAGCGATTCTGTGAGAAGACTGCGCAAAAGGTAGCAAAGAAATTGCCATGGTGTAATCAGATGGGAGCGAAAGACTTTGTGAAGGTGTAGGTCTCATCAGTAGTTTCAGATGAACTATGCATTGCTTGGTGATCATCATATACACATTGGGCATACACTTGCCCAAAACGTGGGTGTGAAATGTCAAATGTCAAATCAAGAAAAACAAAAGACAAACTTACTCTTATCAAATTCAGAAACAGGTGCTTGGCGTTGCATCTCAAACTGACGTTCAGCGTACTCCTTGTACGCGTCGTCAGTCTCGACATGGTCCCAGGCATTGAACTCAAAGACATCATCCCCCTCGCTCAGATATCGGCTTCCAAACTGGAAGGGATCGGTCCGTTTTGAATTCTTGGTCGGATCATGTGATCGATGTGCCGGCACTTCTGTACTCGCATCATTTTGTCCCGCAACGTTCAACGACGCCAACTCCCTCACCGGAGGAGTTGGGCCATCGTCGGCCTCGTTCGAGACACTGCCAGGCACAGTCATACTTCCTAATGTAGATATGGATACAGTACGAATGGAACCGCGCGGCAAGCACCCTGGGCCGCTGGGCCCTCGTGGCTGGTTTGAATTTTGTCGACTCGAAACGGGTTACGAGGAGAGCGAAGGACAATGAGGGAAAAATTTACTCTGGCCCTGATAATAAATGTTTCTTAGATTCGTTGGTGGGGCGCGAATACAACTACACGATTGGCTGATCTGTCGGCATCGGAGATTCCCACCCTCCGCAGTTGTCTCCAAGTAACCAGCGCGACAACTGCGAACTGTGGCAGGTGGGTGGGACATCTGGAGCTTCCTGGGAAGTGCCTCCACCACCAGTCGCAATTGAGCATCCACTGACACTGCATCTCGGATTACAAAGTTGTATTTCATGCAAGATATTTATTGTCTGGTACAAGCTACATCTCCTCGAATGACTTGGTGACGAACCTGGCCGAACCCCGCGCAATCATCCCTAGACAAACCAGCGAAGCATCAAGTCACTATAGCAAAATGGCAGAGTCGCTACTTCAGCCAGTTGGCAGTCTCTCGCCGGCCGAGGTTCTCAAACTGGCCCAAAAAGCCCCCGAGATTTTGCGACAGAACCCGAAAGCCTCCTCAGCATCGCCTTTGTCCTCACTCTTCTCTACTCCAGAGACGGCCGATACTTGGACGATATACGAGAACCTAATGATCGCATGTCTTCAAACTGGCGACGATGAAGCTGCCAACGAGTGCCTTGGGAGAATAGTCACTCGATTCGGCGATTCGCATGATAGGGTTTTGGCGTTGAAGGGATTGTTCAAAGAAGCGACGGCGTCCAACAACGCGGAGCTGGAGAAGATATTGGAGGAATACGAAGCTCTGCTGCAACAAAATGATGCCAGTATTGTGAGTGGTACACTTTCTCAAGCATGTCTGGGTCATCGTACTGACTCAATGAAGCCTATTTGGAAGCGCAAAGTAGCACTCCTCCGATCCATGGGCAAGCTTCCTGAAGCTGTCACGGCGCTGAACTCCTTGCTTGACGTCTGTCCCACCGATCCCGAGGCTTGGGCCGAGCTGGCCGATATGTATATTACTCAGGGGCTGTATGCTCAGGCCATTTATGCATTGGAAGAGGTTCTTGTACTATCGCCTAATGCCTGGAACGTAAGTGCCATCACCGAAGATACTCGACAAAGCCACGGGAACACTGACGAGTCTATAGATTCACGCTCGACTGGGCGAAATATCGTTCATGGCGGCTACAACAGCATCGGAGGGAGGGTCACAAAAACACTATGCAGAAGCTGTGAAGCGATTCTGTCGTAGTATAGAGCTTTGTGATGACTATTTGCGTGGCTATTACGGCCTGAAGCTTGTATGTTTGTGCATGTTCCACTCACGCAGCAGCCATTACTAATCTGCATGGGTGTAGGTTACGGATAGACTTGTACAAAACATGCCCAAGTCAAGAAAGGACTCGGATGGATTCCAGCTACCTGACCAAGCAACCATTGAGAAGCTGAACGAAGCAGCTACCAAGAAATTGGGAGAAATTGTACGCCGTAATGGAGCCAAGGACAAGCTGTGGCAAGGTTACGACGCCAGAGAGATTGCTGCAGCTCGAGAACTTCTAGACAGCTCATCTACCAGTGTGGTTCGGTAATGATGCATCAAGCATGACCTGATTGGGTCTCAGAGGATAGTTGCCTATGGCTGAACAAAGAAGGCTTGGCAATTAGCACATGAGAACTTGACCCAGGGGTGTGTGACTTGGCGTGCATAAATTGCACCTTTGGTAAACAGGAGAACGTCACTCCGTGACCGACTGTCCTGATCATTTTATTTTAAAAATCTTCCACCCATTAATCGGGGAATATATGAAGCAGAATGGGGCGGTACTCGAACCAGCAAATGCACAAGAGCACACGTCAGCATTAAAGTCCAAGTGTGGGCAGAAACGTGTTTTGATGACGGGCAGAGACGGATCTCGCCTTGGCTGTGTGCATTGACGAGGCTTGCAACAGCGTCACAATTCCTTATGTTTAGATTCCTATTTAGTTTTACATTGGGCATGAATCGACAGGGTGTGGTTGTGGTTGGTCCGGTTTTTTTCTCAGGTTGGGCATTCTGTCTTGTAGTCTGACGCCTCCAAACGTCGGAACAGAGCACACATTGCCCAAAACAATATTATAATAGCAAAAACAAGATATGCAGAGATTGGCACCGACAAGGAATCACATCACAGCCGTGGGGTGCACTAGGCCTCTGCACGGCATGGCTGTGTTTCAGCAGAACAACCTAGCTCAGTGATACTGCATCTTGAGGTCCTACAACAGCTGGGATGGTATTTGCGCCCGGCGACTTCTGACCATGATGATACCCTCGCAGCTCTTGGATTCATCCACTGACCTTGTTCAGGCTACGGCCGGTGGATCGTCAGGCTGAGCGGCTGGCTGGCTTATACGAGCTCTCGATGCACAGCTTGTCCGCCTGGCGTGTCGCCTTGGGTGACAGCTCCTGCAGAGCATCTGCTTGGAACGGAGACCGGAGCTTTCTCGACATCAATTGGGCGGGCCCAAATGGCTGGGCTGGGCATCAAAGTAGCACTGTCGACCATGTTCTGTTCCAAAAGAAAAGGGAAAACCCGAAAAAAAAAATTGTGTGTGAGAGAATGCGTGTGCTTGTTCATGCAAGGTCAGTGGTGCAAGGTACCGATCCGCTGGACTATGAGTCAAGCTTTTCTCACAGCTGCCATCCTTGTCAATCGGGCTTCAACACGCAGGTGTCAGGCGCTGGCGGTCAGCGTTGCTTGGACCTCAGTGGGCCAAAACCATCGTGAGGGCGGATCAAGGACGAATGTGTCTGGGAATTTTGGTCTCCGGGTCGGGAAGGGGCATGCGGGAATTTGTGGCTTGTACCGTGTTCCTTACTGTGCGTTGCTGGACTCTGTTGTACTTCTGATGCTGGCCTTTCTTCGACTCCGTGTGTCCTTGCATGGAAGGCGAGAGAAGTATCATGGCTCCCGGCAGCAATCACATTACGAAATAATGCTGTCACCACCGCGGAATCCTCGGGAGGAAGCCTCTGTCGCCTTGTATTGAGGCATACATAAATGAGGCCTTTCGTCGGCCATCCGTCGGCCAGAAGTTGTAGTGATTACATGGTCTATATCGTTGTTGCCGCTGGATACGTTGTATAACGCGAATAGGTATCCGACGCAGTCTGGATTGAATAAAGCATCAACTGCTGGCAGCTATGATGGACATGTCCTCCCCGTTGCAACCCTCAACACGACGTTAACGACCTCGGGACATGGAGACTCTTCTTGCATACCCAGTCGATTATTGTGCAACGGGCGACTCAAACCGTGAATACCAGTGTAGAGGTAGCTTTCCCCTAAAAGATGTCGCTGTTTCTTTCTTTAGAGATGAAGACATTCCGGTCGGACTATTCTGCGCTACACGGAACCCAACCGATGATAAATATATTGATGCCGTCTGACGTTGGTAATGCCAAAAATATGTCTCAAGACAGGGAAGAAGGTAGTAGAACTGCAGGGTTCATTTATGGTGCGCCAATGACACAGCAAAAAGGTTTTGCTAACCGTCTGAAAGTTCCGGATGAGCCTTCCTGGACGGTCCCTGATGAAGCAACAGATCTAGAGTTGGGCACTTGTGTGTCAACCGCGGGCACATCAGTGCTAGCTCTAAACACTCCTTTTCACCACCTCATTAATCTACGTAGAGAACTCCTGAAAACAGGGAGGTGTGCCGTAGAGGTACTCTCATCGTCACCTATGCTGGCCCCCGTCACAGATCTCCTTGTAACTTAGTTCAGCTGGCCATCTTGGCAGAATCGAACATCGTTTGGGTTGCTTTATCCCGGTCTTTGAGGCGCCGACGGCCTACTTGGCTATTACATGGGCGAGTGGCGTATATCCAGATTAGCAGACCCACGAACTAGTCCTCTGAGAGCCTGGTCAACTAAGTTCTGTGCTCACAGAGTGAGGGACTGCAGTGGCGAGGTGATTAACAAGGTGAACATGAAGTTCGATGTAAGTGGCGCCGTGGCTGAGATCCATTTCGGTTTAAATTGCTCGCAACAAGACCCTCATGGCTCGGGCCGACGGGGCCGTGTTTTTGCAATCGATGCCCAATTTCGGATGGCGACACTCTTTCTAGGTCCTGTGCTGCAGTGCCATGGTCTTTCAGGAAGCTACGCCATCAATAGTCGAGATGATTCACATCCGGCGTCAAAATCAAACGCCCGGTTCCTGTTGGAATCCGCCAAGGGGAGGTATCCAGGGTCAAACTAGTGTCGACGCTTGAACATGGGAGAAATGGATCAAGGTACACGAATTGATTTCGTCAGATGCCTCTTTAGACGTCAACAACGGCGGGCCACCCTAACATTGGATTAGAAGGAAAACGGCTGGGTACGTAATATCGGGCTAGAATTGGTAGATGGTATGTTGAAATTTGTACACGGGATGCAACCCGAGAGCGACCTAACAGCTTCCAACAAGCCAAATTAGCTGCAGTTATTGTTGTTATAGCCCAAGCTAGCACTGAATACAGCAACTTCTTCCGGACTGAGTACATATGTCGTGAAGTGACATCGGACTGACAGTATGCAGAGGCACAGTACCAGCCCCGTGTGCCACAGCTTCTGCAGACCCCATGTCGGCATCTCGGGTGCATGACAGACAAAAAGCCTGCCACGTGTATCGTGAGAGGCGTCAGTAGTCGGCCATGACTTGCTCGTGAGGAAAAGGGGGGAGTTGCGATCTCGGGTGAGGTGGCGCTGGTACATATAAGGACCGATGACCGTTTTGCAGCGACATGTTGAGGAAGCAGATCACTCAAACTTCCAAGCTCTGGACTCTGTTGAAAGAAAAAAAATACTGCGACCCGAGCAAGATCGCAACCCTAAGAGTCCCTGTCGACATCAGGGATACATTCATAATCCTTACAAACCTCTGCTCAACGACCACAACAGAGCGAGGAGCAACTGTTGTGCCACTCGGAGCGGCCCTTTTCTTTCCCTGTGCTGTCTTTCCATCCCAGCCCGAGAAGGCATAGAACTCTGGACTTACACAGGCTAGCTATCAGATATCTCGATCTACCATGTTGCTGCGTTTCCGAGAGGCCAAGAATTTGAGACAAGCCAGAGACACCCGACTACCAACCTAACGGAACCGAGAATCGAATTGCACAGAGGCAAGACAATAGAGCAGCACTAACTTACCTGGCCATAAAAAGAAGGCGAAGCAAATCCGGACAGGAATTCTCAACGTCTCCAGGAACCGCGGCCACACCGTGTGTGATTACTTCCTCCTTGACAACTCGGGAACTCGACGGAACTCGCTCGATTTCACGCTCGCTACCGTCGAGGCCAGGAGGCGTGGAGAGTGAAAGTGGGGGCTTGCTGCCTGCGTTCCTGCCCGCTTTTGCGTTGTCTGCCCGACCAGGTACAAAGAGGCGAGACACAACCGACTCGCTTCTTGTCGTTTTTGCCATCCTGAACATACTTTTTTTTATTTCACTTTCTTTCACCCCTATCTTTGGACTTTCCTCGCTTTTCACCTCGGGAAGCCCTCAACGTTGGAACTACATATTTTTCCTTCTAATATTCTTTTGCCGATTCCACTGTCAATCCCGCTGACTCGGCTTACACGAGCTAGTACACTCGCACCACAGCCGAAATTTCAATCACAAAAAAAGCAAGGGTCTCCTTGTATTACATTGACAAAATACGTGGGCAATTTTGTATCACACACCGCCGATGCCCCCCAAGGCTTGAATGCAAGATCATAGCGCCGATAACGCAGCTTACCTCTCTGCTATCATTAAACTTCAATTTTGCCAATTGACCATTCGTAAGTTTGGGGCTGGGCGACCTCCTTCAGACACTTCCGGTGGAGCCAGGTCCTCTGACCATGATGCTAATACCGTTGCTTCTCCAACATAGTCGTACAGACTAGTATAGCGAGCGCCGCATTGTTGAAAAGAGACATCGAAATTTAGGGGCCCTGGAGTGCTACTAACGATCGAATCAACTCTGTACCAAGGTAAGTTGCATCGCATTGTGTTGGCTCGAAAACATCTGTCTCTTTGCTCCAAGCTGTCATGGTATTATTGCCCATTGCCCCTCCCTCGATGGCTGCCCCACGATTTGGACCCCTCATTGGGCAACTATCGCATTGTTTCCATTGTTCGCTGCCTCTCTTTTTGAGTTGCCCAAGGCGTCAGTGTTTGTGGAAAAGCCGCACGATGGTGCTGAGGCCGGCGACCGTTGGCTTCAATGTTACGGGAGGTCCCAACAATTGGCGGCTAGTGGCCATTCGGGCATCATGATATACCACCACTCAGGATTCTCGGTGGTCAGTATGAACAAAAGAGGAGAGGACAAAAAACTGACCAGTATATTTCTTTTTTATCTTAGACATCGTTCCACCACGCACTTACAAAATCCAGTGTTTGACTGTTATAGCGGGAGCCAATAGCCCATCCTTCACACACTCCCACCACTGCCCATTGGATACCACGGGGCAGGACAATTGGACGGCGCGCAATTCGAGTCAATTTAACTGCTGCCCCGCCATCAGCCGTCTGTCTAATCTGCTCCCGATATTGCTACTGTACCAAAAATCTACCTGCTGCC